GAACAGACATCCGTCACGCGTGGGCAGCCTGTTTCATGTTGTTCATTCTCTTGGTTTCCCAGGTTTCAGCCCAGAGAATGGGCATTACTTGTTTTTGTTTGAAGCACTGGAAATTGTTTCTAAAGCATTTTACTACCCAGGTTATTTTTTAATGCAAATTGTTTTTTCATTAGAGTTTAAGAATGCAGCTAAATATTATCTCTGCTTTTAAGGAAATAGACAATCTAGAAGAACAACCAGAAGAAGAGAAAGAAGAGGTCCTTGATGATCAGGAGAATTCAGCTCATAGGAGGGTAGGTACCTCCTCATCTTCTGGTGCTACTGTTAATCCCTGCCCTCATGGCGCACTAGTTACCCACTCTGTTGCTGACCAAGGGGCCAGTGGTTTGAAACCCACCCGCTGCTGTGCAGGGAAAAGATCGGGAGGGAGCAGTGTGTTCTGTAAAGATGCACAGCGCAGATAAGCCTGTGTGGCCGTTTTGCTCTGCTGTTGAAATCAACTACGTGGTAATGAGGGCGACGGCAGGTGAAGCCCCTTCTAGTCTCCAGAGATGTGTCCTCTCATTTCCGTAATGAAATGCTGTCCACCTGTGGCTTTTTTAGGATGTCGAATTCATTATATTGTCTTGTTTTTCCATACATACAGACAGTAGTTGTCTACTGATTATTATCTAAAGATAATCTTCATGAGAAATCCCGTAAGAATCCTACATACATAACAATCTGATTTCCAAAAAGACTATTGAACAGTATTTTATTTAATTTGCTTTGAATGGTTTGTGTCAATTTTTACATATTTAAAAATTCTTTTATGCTGAAACCAATCATGTTTATTTCTGTCCTTGAATAAACATTTTAGGATGAAGTTCAAGGAAAATGTACTTGGCTATTTTTTTTAACTTTGAAAATGTAGTGGAAAATTTTGTTTTGATGGCTACTTTTATTTTAAATGTTTTCAAATACCTGACTTATTTCTAAAAGATGAGTTTTAACCTTATTGCCCTTTATTGTCTAAATGAAATGCTTTTATTCATAAGTTTTCTAGGACATAAGTGTCATCCATATGTTTTCATTGCTTATACTTAAAAAGTGGTCCTCATCTCTCCTAGTTGAGGCTTCCTTGTATCCACGTTAGTCTTTCTGTTTCTGGGCTGGTGCTGTTGAGTCAGAAAAGTCTGCCTCTAGTCTTGCCCTGTGGAGCCACTGAATGGGTTTGAACCACAGACCTTTTTGGTTAGTATCTGAATCCATAACTGCTTCACCAAAGCTCCTTGAGGAGGTCCATAGCTCATACTATTTCTTTCTAGACACGGGAAGATAGGAAGGTTGAAGCCATCATGCATGCTTTTGAAAACCTAGAGAAAAGGAAGAAACGGCGGGATCAGCCTTTGGAGCAAAGCAACTGTGACACAGAGATTACTACCACCACCACAGAGACTCCTGTGACAGAGGAGACAAAAGTGGAAACCCCTGAACCTGAAGTTAGCAACCCTGTTTCAAATGTTACCATCACAAGCACCCCACAGAGTGTTGGTGTGAACACTCGGAGGTCTTCCCAAGCAGGCGTAAGTGATGAAAGGGCTTAGACATCCTTCTTTTTTTTTTTTTTTTTCCTGGCTAATGTTAATTTCCTACTTTCGAGAACAGTTAAGGTGGGTATTTTGAGCCCTGTCTCTTAACACAGTAAGTAAAATCATGTACATTAAAGCCATTTTCTTCCAATGATTTGAAAGACTCAGATGAGTAACTGTTAAATTTAATTGCCTAGAAACTTTTAGACTAGAATGGAACTAACTTTATACTGTTTCTTATGAATAAACTATTGGTGAGGGCTTAGAAACCGTTTGCTTTCTCCATTGGACCTTCTGTGTAGCAGTTAACTGCCCAGCCTTTCATGGGGTTCACCAAATATGTTGAGATCATCTCTACTTCACACAGCCATGAATCCACGCCTTCCTCAGACTCTGGGGAGGGAGAACAAATCAGCTCCTTTCCTGAGTTCTCTTCCTTGCTAGGAGCCCTAAAGTTAGTAGCTGCCTACAGCCGGCTGTGGCCAGTTTCATCTCTTCCTTGCTAGGAGCCCTAAAGTTAGTAGCTGCCTACAGCCGACTGTGGCCAGTTTTATGAATGTGTATTAGAAACAGATATACCTAACCCAGGCATCTTCCTAAGCCTTGTATCTAGTTCATTGTATGAGTTTCTATTTTTAAGGAATACATTTTAAATAAGCGTTTCCAAATCCCCACTCTTTTCACCTACAGATACTTTAGGGTGCTTATGGTGAATAATCAGTTGGATAGATTGTTGGCTAGTAAGAAATTTCTGGTAAGCTCTTGATTCTCCTACGATTGTTACAGGATGTTGCTGCAGAAAAGCCAGTCCCTAAACCACCTCCAGCAAAGCCTTCTAGGCCCCGACCGAAGAGTCGCATTTCTCGATACAGGACCAGTTCAGCCCAAAGACTGAAGCGCCAGAAGCAGGCCATTGCACAGCAGGCGGAGCTGTCACAAAACGCCTTGGAAGACGGAGGAAATAGTAGCTTGGTAACTCCTGCTGAAGTTGGAAATGTAGACAATTTCGGAGAGAATCGACAATTACTAGGGTCTGACCCAGTAGTGGTATCAGTTCCTGGATCCCATGTCAACCGTGCAGCATCGAAGTACCCTAAAACCAAAAAGGTAAGTCAGGTTTTCATAAGGCTGGTCTGGCATGGGATGTGTCCTGAGAAAATGTTAGGACCTATGACCCCCTTTGTAAGATGGAGGTGCCTTAGTATTAGAAAATTCTAGACCAGAGGCTGTGGTGCAGAGGGCTAAAACCACCCTCCCCACTTTTTCTGTTACTTTTAAAGCAGACAGTATCACTGATAGCTAAAGTATTTCTCTCTGAATGGGGATGGAGTGAAGAGGGGAGATACCTTTGTTCTGGTCAAGTTTGCCTCTGTGACCTCTGTTGCTCCCTCTGGCTTCTACATCTGTATCATCGACTAACGATACCTTTTTTTACTGTAGTATCTAGTTACAGAATGGCTGAATGACAAAGCAGAGAAGCAAGAATGCCCTGTTGAGTGCCCTTTACGTATTACCACGGACCCAACTGTACTGGCAACAACTTTGAATATGTTACCTGGTCTGATCCATTCCCCGTTAATTTGCACCACTCCCAAACACTACATTCGCTTTGGTTCACCCTTTAATCCTGAGAGGCGCCGACGGCCCCTTCTGCCTGATGGCACATTCAGCTCCTGTAAGAAGGTATGTGTCTGTTTGTGTTTGTGTTTGTTTCACTCAGGATGCCCATAATCCTGACCTGTCTAATACAATCTCTAGATAGCCCCTGCCTATCCGTGTGAGTTCTCCAGAAGGAAGGCAGTTGTTTGACCAGTGTCTAGAAGTCAGTGGCGTCAGGTGCTGTCATTCTAGGTGCTCACTTTTGTGAGTATTCATAGTTGTGTTTTCGGAGTGCCCTTGAGGTTATTGAGTGAGTGTGCACAAGTTGGGGACTAGGTAGGGTAGCTGTGTGTCCTCTTGTGCTATTGGTTTAAATGTCCATTTGCAACTATTCCATGAGATTGGGCCCCAGGTTCTCAAGCAGTTTTGCATGCATTTAAAATGACTGGATTGTGTTTTGAATTAATCAGTATTACTTGAAGTAGATTTGAGGGAAAATCTAATTGTAATTGGATTTAGTTGCAGTAGGGTTTGGCGGTGGTTTACCGAATGCTCTTTGTTAGTTCCAGAAGCTGTGCATATTTTCCAAAGGGGGCTCTCAGGAATGTGTAATGTCATTCCCTTGTTTCTAGAAGCTTAGGACAGCTTTTCATTGGGTCTCCCCTGAGGAAAGTTCTGTCCCCTGGAACACCCTCTTCTCTTATCCTCAGATCTGGACAGAGGCTGCCTTCCTCAGTGTCTGCCATTGCCCTCCTCCACTGGCATCACGTACATGAGGGTGCTGCTTGTAGATTATTTGAGGTGATGAAGTCTCCAACTCCAGGCAGGTCCTCCCTGGCTCGTCCAAACAAGCTGTTCTCTCTACCCGCAGAAAGAAAGAACTTTCTCTGTGGTGGGAAGGGGTTGAAAACGAGCCAGAATGGGGTGGGCCAAGGAGGGAGGAGGGAAACGTGGATCTGTGCAAAAGGGAAAGGCACTGTTGCTGCCCGAGCAGCACACATTGAAGAGTCTTCCGAACTAACAGCACATCTTAGCTAAGTATCTGATTCGCTTACCTTGGTTGGTTTGGGGGATCCTCCCCAAGGGTGTGTATAGATAAGTGATGGAAATGGGAACAGTGACACATTTTCTTCAGATGGGTAGTAATACTATAAAGTTTCTCACAGGCTATTTTCTATTGGAAATTTGCTTCGGGGTTAGGTTTTTGAGCATGCTTTGTTCTATCAAGTTAGTTAGGCTAACTGGGATCTTTTTTTTCTTTTTTTAAAATTTATTGACAAGCTCTCTGGGATCTTAGGAGGAAGAAAAGGTAGTCTGACTTACAATAAGCACTATGATTAACCTTCATTAGTAATAGCGAGCTGTATTAACTCTGGTATGGCATGGAAAACTCAGAACTAGTTTTAGCATTGTTCTGTCTCTTAAGAATTAACAGTAGTAATATTTTCACTATTGTGCAGCTGATATGGAAAAATTAGGATGGGATACAATCTTGAGTGTAAAGGAGGGAGGAGCAAGCTGAAAGGTGGTCTAATAGATGTGTATATGAAATAAGCCTTTTCCTTTTGTCTTTGGCTAGATTGGAGAACTCGATTTTTTAGGTCTTAATTATTTGGGCCTTGTAAGAACGGTAAACAGTTATTTCATACAGAATAGTGAAGTCTGGTGATAAATAAATAAAACAGACTAGCCTCTTAAAATGCTTTCAAAAAACAAAAAAATAATAATAAAATGCTTTCATAGATAGTTCTGATAACGGCAGCACAATATTTTTGTTCCCAACTTTACCAAGTAGTATTGACCTGGAAAACCCAAAAATGTGCATTTATACCAGTTGAATATGATGGAGAATCCCTTTCTTACAGCTCTTCTTACCTGGCTGTGAACTTGTATATATCTACAGCTTATCTTTGTATGTCCACTGGCAGCAGATATCAATCCCATTTAGCTCTAAACTTGTTAGATCAGTAAATGTGTAATGACACTTTCAAGGGAGAGTTCAAGTTACATAAACAACGTACCTTGTGTAGGAAGATCATTAATTTTTTTTAAAACATTTGGACCTGATTTAAGTTTAAATCACTGCTTTAATATTTGCTGTAAACATTAAGATTAGCTTGTAATGAGGGGCAAAATTAATGAAATTTGGTCTTTTAACTGGAAATTAAGCCAGGGATATTAAACAGCTTTATATTGGCTAGGAATATGGGAGATGGGGGGGGGGGGGTTGTTTTGTTTTGTTTGGGTATTTTTGTATGTTTGTTTTTTTAACTGATTCAAAGGTATGCATGTATGGAGTTGGACCTAAGAATTCTCTTGATTGAACAAATTGTTTTCCCAAAATCCTGAAAGCCCCTCAATATAAATTATGTAGCTAGATGGGAAAAGCACCTTCTTGGGATTAGTTAGAGCAGTTACAGCATTCCCAATAAGCCCACTGATTCTTACCTGATTTGAGGATGTAAAAGACCTCATAAGTGTAAACCATACACGGAAAATTAAGGTTGTCTCTGGATTTGTACCCCATGGTAATATATAAGCAGAATCAAAAAATAACTTGACAGAAATTTGATTTACAAGAGACTTCACAGTGTTCGCAGAAAGTGTGATTGCATAGCCAAGAAGTCTCAGTTATGTCCCACCTTGTCCTAAATTCACCTTGTAGACATTAGTAAGTGTGTGGGACATTTGATCTACTAGATTATTTAGGAAACCAATCTGCCTGATGCAGGAGCAATGCATTGTGTCCCATTGTATACACTGGTGAGCTATTCATATGTGTATCTCCCTTCATGTCATTGAAATTCCTTTAAGTCCTCGTTGAACATTTACTATGTGACTAGTATTGTGCTACACGTTTTCTTTATAGATGGTGCCTCATTTAACTTTCATGACCCCTCTGAAGTGATCATGGGTATTGATAAGGTTAGGTAACTTGTTAGATTGAGACAGCTACAAAGGAACAGCCAGGTTTCAATCCAGGTCCTTTGGATTTTAAAATAAAACATGCTTGCTTGCTTTTTTTAATCCTCATAACAATGAAACCTTTAAACATACTTCTCTCACCCTCTGAGCCTCCTAAAACTCTTGAGCTTGATACAGTTTCACAGGGGCGAGAAATGTTTTTATGACTTTAACAACAGTAGGCAGGAAACGGGGACAACATAGAAGAGATTAGGGGATGGGGCCTAAAGTTCATAGGTGTGATTGGAACATGCTAAATACACACAAGGGTGGGTACATGGGTTTGTTTCTTTTTATGAGTCCTGGAATATTGTGGAAACATTGCAGGGCTATGGTGAGTGGGTTTAACACTCTGTGTGCTGTGTTAGGCTTTACACCAGCTAACCATAGAAGCACCTTATTCCTTAGAATGCCTCTCTCCTAGTTTTGTGCTCCCTTTTGTAGTCATCAGATCCAGAATATAAATTATTTTATGGGTACATCAACTTAACACTGGAAATAAAAGAAACTCACTTCTCTCAGAGCACAGTGCAGTGATCCCAAGGGAGTCCTGCCATCTGCTTTGGAAAGAAAAACTTGTACTAAAGGTGTCTCCAAAGGGTTTTCATTCTTCCTGGGTCTATTTTATCCCATCTATAAAATGAGTGCGTTGTAAAGGTGATCTTCGAGGTTGTGAGGCTCTGTGATTCTAATAATTCATATTCACATCAATATTCAGTACATAAGAGAGTTCTTGTTTTAACTTTTCAGAGACTTGGTCATATCCTAAAACATCGGAGTCATTCGGATGATGCTGGCTATCTCTCATAGATTCATTCACTCTGGTGGCCCAAGTTTCCCCTCCCCCACCCCTTTTATTGGACAGATCACTGTCATTTACATGGTGTAAAATGTTTCTGGCCAATTTGTCCTTGTTTATTATTCTTTACTGTAAGTTGTACTTGTTGAGAAATAGGCATCATAAAGCATGCGCAGATTCAACAGTAATGTGCAGTTTAGTGATAGTGGCCATATTCTTCGAGCTGCCCGACCATTCTCACCTGCCCTTCTGAGTTGTTCCTTCACCTCGATTAGTTCATTCATAAGGTTTCTAAGGGGAAATCTGATACATGTGCTCTTTGGTGAGGAGAAGACTTGCTTACCTGTAATACGTATTCCTAAATATGTAAATTATAATTACCCTTTGCTCTTCCTATTTGGGGGAGGGTCTGACTCAGAAATTGATGTTTATCAAAATTCGATCTGTCTTATGTCAGGGCAGGAGAACCACAGAGTGGTGAGAACCTACAACTGTGTATCTTAAGAGAACACAATTACAGGTAAGACATTTTCTCTCTTCCACAGGATGAGTAATTTTATTATGATCTTTGAAGTCTTGCTCTCTGATCTAAGTTTATTTCTTGTTGACGTAGGTTTCGATATTCACTACAGAAATATGTAATCAGTTGGAGCACGTCTTTTTTGCTTTGCCCTTTTGATTCGGCAGAAGGTCTTTTTGGTGGCCTGCATTCTTCGCGCATGTTTTAACTCGGTCGGTTGTGTAATGAGGGAAACGGTTCCACAGACTATTTCATTTGCAGCTAGACTTTGTAGCAACCTTTGGGTCCTATGGTGAAGAGCTAGTGGTTCTCATCCGAATCTTTTCTGTTGTCCATTCAGGAATCCCTAGCTCAGGCAGACAGTTCTTGAAAGGCCTTTATCTTCCTTCCAGGCATTTGTCTTCTGTCCCAATTGCATCACCTACATGATCAGAATCCGTCTTCCTCATCTCTTTCCCATCTTAAGTTACATGGAACGTTGAACAGTCACCACATTTTATTGGTTTTGACCTTTTGGTGATCCCAATTTTCTGGATTTTTCCCAGTATTAGGAGTTGATAGGGCAGGATTCTAGTATGCTGAAACACAGGCATAAAACATTTGATTGTGGAACTGAATGAGTGTTGGGTTGCAGCTCTCACCTCTTGATGTGTTAATGGTTAATGCATTTAAAATTGGCATATTCAATACTTTCCATCATCATTGATAGTTCCTGGTTTCTTTTCCCGTGTAGCGCTGGATGAAGCAAGCGCTGGAAGAAGGAATGACTCAGACTACATCTGTGCCCCGAGAGACGAGGACCCAGCAGCTGTACCAAAGGAACGAGGACAGTAGCTCTGCAGGCATCTGCAGAGACAGCGCAGGTACGCGTGTAAGACCGTTCTGGCTCGTGACCAGTGATCATTTCAAGACATGAAACTTTTCCATATGAGTGCTTAAAAGTCTGATACCCAAAATAAATCGTATTGTTCTCTAAATAGTTACTTTACATCTGTCTTTACAGAGGAGGAGATCTCCAGTCAGGGATCAGTTTTCCCAGGACGACAAAGAAGGAACTAGACAGTGTACAGATAACAGCAGAAATGGTTATGAACAGGTTAGATACATTTAAAGTAGTAAGTTAGGAAATCTATGTCCATATTTATAAGAGAAAAAGGCAACAAAGTGGTGGAACCCTTAATACCCACAGGAGAACCCTACAGTTCTAGGTGATTGAGGTGGTGAGGGCTTGGTTGAAGGGGCCATGAACGAATGCAGTAAAGAATTTTATTACCAAATGGTTTTTTGTTTTTGTTTGCGCAAAAGGGCTTTACACAGTACTGTAAAGTTTTTTTTAGAAGATGTAGCTGTAATCCAATTTAAAGTCTTCATGGCCTTGAAAACTCATTTGGTCCATTCCTCTGATGGCGAATATAGCAGACGTTTTCATTCGATTGTGATTGATTGCACCAGTGCATTAACTTCTGATGCCAACTTATTTTGATAAATCTTTTTAATAGAGCCGTTTTTGCAACTGAAACAAACTGCCAAAATAAATTAGAAACTAAAGCTCATGTAAGACCACAGCATGGTGTTTGAGTCTCGTAAATCCCACCTCATTGTTTCTATTCATTGGTTTGTCGAGTAAATACTTCTTGTATTTAAATTACTTTCTGGTTTATACATAATTAAGTACATGTATATTAGTCATGTTTATTTTTTCTTTTTATTTATTTTATGTAGTCCTATTTCTTTATATTAAATTTTGGGTAAGTTTTTTTTTTGTCCTTTGATGTGGGCTACTACCATTTTTTTTAATTATTGACATTCTTTTATCTCTGTATTGGATTATATCTCAAACTATCACATTGTAACTGCACAATAATGTAATCCCAGTACAGAAGGTAAATGATAACGTATATTTAAAATTGGCAAGAGGATTTCTGTGTGTTAATCAGATCTCAGTACTTCCCTCTCATCTTAGGTAAAGCACATGAATACAAGACTTTACTCTAGTCCTTAGTAGGCCTACAGGACAAGAGTAGAGCTGCCCCCGTGGGTTTCCAAGACTGTAAATCTGTACAGAAGTGACAGTCGCCTCTTTTTCTCTTGGAGCGGCTGGTGAGTCCAGACCGCTCACCTTGTCGTTAGCCAGCTCAGTGCGTGGCCCGTGATGCCACCAGGGCTCCACTGGAACCACTGGCATGAGTTCAAACTGCCAGCCTTTTAGTTCATAACATAGTACTTATGAAACTGAAAATGTGTATCAAATAATCAATGCGTTCAACATGCTATCAGACCCACAATAAAAATTACTACTACTGTGTTGTTCTACAGGAAATTCTCTTGCCAAATGTGCCTGAAACATTAACAGATAGTAGTCACATATTAGAATACATTAAAATCTGAAACTTTCCAAAACGCTACTTGTGTAGAAACTAAAGTTACTAAATATTTAAGGTGGGGAGAGGAGGTCGGAAGAATAACCTTTGTTATTTATAAATGATCTGGTAAGATACCTAGGAGAGTGTAAATTGTCATCTGGACAACTTCCAGTGATGAGAGTTGAATACAGTTTGAAATGACTGGATAGAATGTATGTATACAAACTTAAAGCACCTACAACTACACGGATGAAAGAATCTGCTTGATATCCTTTGTGGAACAGGTAGATCAGATTATTACTGAGAAGTATTTTTAAAGTTTCAAAGGAAGAGAGATCCTGTATTTCTTTTTTTTTCTTTTTTTTTTTTTGAGATCCTGTGTTTCCTATGAAAAATTATACTTTTAAATGTGTGTGGTATATAGGCTTATGTCTTGGTTGTCATATTGTTTTCTTTGTAATAATCTTGATTTTCAAAGTTGATTAAATCATTTGTAAATTAAAAGAATGGGCATGAAAAGGTAAGAAAAGAATGGAAAACACTCGTAGTAATAACTTACTTTTCTAAGAGCAATAAGATGAATTTCTAGTATGAAGTTAGTAATTATAATTTGTAGTATTAAGGCAAGACCGATTTCTTACAAGGTAAGTGGGGAAGTCTTGCTGATAAGGCTCTAGTTCATGCGCACAGAGCCTTATTCCAAACAAAACGTGTCAACATGTCTCTGTGGTCATTGGATCCCTACAGACACATTCTTTTCAGTAATACACCTGACTTTGTCTCTTCAGGGTGCTGCTATAAATGCATATATATATAATTGAACAGTGCCTTCTCTGAGGGTCTGTCGGGCCAGTTAAATTCAAGACAGAGAGGTCAGCTCAGAAGGTTACGGCAAATAATCTTAATAGGTCTTTAAAGATCTTGAACAATAAATCACAAGCTTGGTGTGAGAAAGTGTTTGTTTTTTCTTGTTGTTTTTTTTTAACAAAATTGAAAACTTCATAGTAAGAATAAGGGCATCGAGTTTGGGCTGAGGAACATTTCCACCTGGACAGTGCACTTGTTCATTCTTCTATGAAAGCAGGATTGTAGGCGAGGACTTTGTTATGCCATGCACCTTCCCTTGCTTTTCAGACTTTTTGTCCCCCAAGAACATTTCAGAGGAAGATTGAGTCCTTCAAGGACCCAAACGTGATGTTTTGATGTGATATAAATCCATGAGTGCAGAATTCTTCAGATGGAGAATCCTTCAAGAAACAACAGCGTCTTCTCGATTTTTTTGGTAGCAATACTGGTTGACTTAGTCCTTTATGAAAGGAGGAATATGTCCTACTCAGAGTAGTAAACCCATTTGAGAAAACTAAAGATGAAGCCTATTTTGAAAAGTGACTCTTGGGGGAAGATGGATATAAATGAAGACCGAATGATTATTCTCAGATTACTCATTAATTAAATGCACCCCAATAAAAAAATCCTAATAGTTATTCCTGATAGTGGCAGGTGATTCTCTTCCTTGAAAAGGAAAAGGATGCTAGAACAACCAAAGTACGGGGGGAAGAGAAAATAACTGGAATTACCCTGAACCATTTTACTAAAAAGTGTGACATATTTATGCCACATTAGGCGAGTAAGTGGGCAAAAACCACACCCCAGAATAGAGCTAGTTCAAGTAAGACTCTCTTAGATAAGTGTGATGTTTCAAATCAATGGGGAAATGAAAATTGTGTAATTTTTAAATATGCTGGGGAGAGGTTGTTTTTTGAGGTAGGAGGAATAAATTAGTCACTGCTGTACACTATAGCATGTTCTTAATGTCACATATGAAAGCATGTAGTTTGAGGGAAAATACGGTTGTATTTTAAATATATTGTTAGCTCTGGTTAAAAAGATTGTGCCAGGCATATAAATGAAAGATTTGTATTACGACAGAAAATAAAGGAAATTATTTTATCAAACGTACAACAAAATTAGACTAAAATTAAAACAGTCCCCCAAAATTAATATTTTTTACAAAGGGTCAGTATCCTTTCTATACCGCAGCAGTTCTGAACCTTGCTGGGGGGGAGGGGGAGCGTGTCAAACGACCCTTTCACAGGGGTCACCTAAGACCATCAGAAAACACATGTTTCCAGTGGTGTTAGGAACTGAGACACTGCTCCTCTATCCATCGCCAGGCGGGTCTGCCCACATGCAGATACACCCACCTACAAGTATCTGGCGTGAAGACTGTTACCCATGTTACAACATGCTTCGAGATGACATTTCATTTATTTGTAGTTAGAAATAAATATCTGACAATATATGATTACATATTGTTTTTGTGATTGATCACTGTGCTTTAATTATGTTCAATTTGCAATGAACATACAATGAAAATAATCCCACATATTAGATATTTACATGACAATTCATAACACTACCAAAATCATAGTTAGGAAGTAACGAAAATAATGTGATGGTGGGGGTCACCACAGCCTGAGGAGCTGTGTGAAAGGGTCACGGCCTTAGGAAGGTTGAGAACCGCTCACTGCTCTAGGGACTTCGCACAATCAAAAAGAGAGAACACAGCACCTAGAATATAATCTGAGTATAAAAATAGGTAATAAATATAAAACCCATCCACCTATGAGAACATTTCTTTGAATGGGTCTACATCTAGCTAGTTATTTGTGAAGAAAAACAGGCCAAAAAATGTAGAAATGTATTTAAAAAATTATTGGTGTTTGAGGTTTGCTATGCTTACAGTAGAAAACAATTGAAAATAGTTAAATTTTGGTACTATGAATAATGTATAGTCTCTGTACATTGGAATTGTTGTCACTAAAAAATAAATTTCTATTGTTTTGGGTCATGTATTTCTGAGTAAAAGTTGTAGGTTGTTGGGGGCGGTGTGGTTAAGATGTTAGTCGATAGTTGTGTCGTGATGAGAAGATCTGAATGGAAACACACCAGAATGTTAGCAGTGCTTCTATTGGTGGCTTATGTACTCATTAATGTCGTTTGCTGTTGCCATTATTGATTCCACAAGATCAGCAGTTGGAATCTAATCTCCTAATTGCTCCATAGTAAAAATAAAACACGAGCCTTTCTACTTTCATAAAGATTTTACAGCTTCCCAAGCACCAAGAGCATTTCTACTCTGTCCTCACCAAGCTCGCCCAGAGTTGGAATCGGCTCAGTGACAGTGAGGTTTTGTTTTATCTTTACGCATGGTGGTTCTGCATTGGCCTGCTGTCTCCTGTTAAAAGAGAAAAGATGAGATAGGCTTTCTACTCTTGTGTGTGAAGACTGACCTTCCCCTGGACCCTGCAGTTTTGCACTCCAGGACCTCAGAGATAAGTGGGCACCCCAGGCTTACTACGTAGTCAGAGCCACATAATATCAGCCATTCATTTACCCATCCACGCCACATGGCTTGTGGAGAAGGTGGTTGGGACCATAATGCAAAAAAATTGCCAAAGGGAGAGTGACCAGATTGGTTCTGTATCCCTGTTCATTAAAGGATTAGAATAAATGTAAGACATGCTTTGCCAACAATGCCCTTTGGAAGTGCGCAGTTGTGTGGGAAGTGGAGTGGGGGATTGTGCTTCTCAGAGCCTTAACCTATGCTGTGCTCGAAGCCTTACCTGTGCTATACATGAAGGACAGGCTGGCTGAGATCGTCTTGAAGATTGGAAAGGTCATCGACTGGGGGGGCCGGGGGTGGGGGCTGGGGAGGAGCTGTGCAGGAACCATGTATCTGCAGAGTCCCATCAGTCCCGACGAGCCCATTCACCTGACAGAAGGAGTGGGAGGACTAAGGCACATCCATCCTCAGTGCAGTGAAGGCAGTGAGATAGGTAGCCAGATGGCTGCCGCGGTGTCACTACAGTCGGCCCATCTCCCCACCAGTATTGATGAAATGGCTCAATGCAGTGGAAGGAAAAGGCTCCTTGTACTCTCCTAAAAGTTGATTTTCATGAAGGCTTTATTATTCTCAGGGGCTCGACTTTGCTGTTACATCCATGTCCCTGACTACACACATTATTGCTTCGTAAGCTCCTTGTTTTCGATGCTCCATCATTTTTTTCATTCCAAGAACCTTGCTCTTAACTAAGAACTTTCATTTGGAAAGAAGGAAAACGTTTGACATCATAACAGCTCATTGCATATTTATTTTTGGTGGCACTTCAAAAAAAAAAGGTCCCCTGTGGTTTCATTAGTGGAAATACGTCAGTCAGCATGCTTGTCAGATTGTATCAGCTGTAACTGATCAAAAATTATTAAAATGTTAACATGTGGAAACCATGGTCTTGGTTTTTAAGAGTTAAAGTCTCAGGGCCCACAAAGCCCTTGTAGGATCGCTGTGGGTCGGAATGGACTCCATGGGCAGTTTCCAGTGGGTGCTGAGTGACGTACACATCTGCTTAGATAGTCTTGGGGAAATGTGTGGGCAGGTGGAGAAAGCCGTAAACAATGGGCAGACTCACCCCGTTCTGCATGGAAGTGTCCATGGCAGCAGGTAACGCAGTAAAATTAACTCTCGGTTTAAAAAGTTGTGCTTTGTAAGTACAATGCTATTAAACTAGGAAAAAGGCAAGTGATCACTGCCCCATAAACTTTATGAAGGCAATATCAAATTAGTACATTATTGTTTTAAAAGTAAATATTAATAATCTAGAAAAAATTCACAGATATCACAGAAGAAAAATATACTTCGGGTTTTTTCCATTTATTTTAGCTTTTACTGTTTTGGTGCCTCAGCTCCTGTGTCACCTATTGTAGTCATATGCGGTTTCCCAATTTCCAGTCTGTCCTGCATGGAAGTAATAGTACTTCCAGATGAGTCTTCCTGATTATGACCTGCTGTCTGTCCCCAGGCTTTTCCTTAGAGCAGCACTTATCAACCTGTGGGTCGCAACCCTTTTGGGGGTCAAATGACCCTTTCATAGGCGTCGCCCCATTCATAACAGTAGCAAAATCACAGTTATGATGTAGCGAGGAAAATAATTTTCTGGTTGGGGGGTGGTCACCACAACATGAGGAACTGTATTAAAGGGTCGTGGCATTAGGAAGGTTGAGAACCGCTGCCTTAGAGACGGGGTAAATGCTTCCATTTGGGGACATAATTTAGTTATTAAGAAGAACGTTGGAGGCATATTGCCTAGTCTTTACCTCTCTGCCCTCATCTTTGAAACGGGGGTGCTGAGAATATTGCTGGATTTACAGAGCTATTGAAATTAAATCTACTAATTCATATAAAGCAAACATGTACCATGTTAGTAAAAATAGCTTTATTTTTAAAGTACAGATATACACACAACAGGGACCTATGTTGTGGCTAGTTCACATAAAGCATGTAACATACAAGCTTTTGAAAGCCCTCTTACATATTAACCATTATTTCATATACCTAGTTAGGTAGCCTGCATATAATAGATGTATGAATATCTTTTTAACTGTACATGGATGTAAAGAGTTTTTTCTTGGGAAAAGTGAAGTGGTTTGTGTAAGCTGAACAGTAAATAAAATTATAGTGCTAGTAATTTGCATTTTTAGCAGATCTACCTTCTTAAGTACAGTGGGAGAAGTCTAGGTAAGAGATTTATTTCCATCAGCAAAGTAGTAGTGCTAGCCTAGTTACTAAAAATAATTGGAGTAGCCTTTATAGAAGTCATGTCACATTTTGATCACCCAGGATATGGATATGGAAATGATGTATAACTCTTAACTAAATCATCGCAGAAACAGCTGTTGAAAAGTGGCAGAAGTATATAAATGAGTAAGGGATATGGATTTATCTTCTCTGTAGCTTGAGTTAGTGGCATGGTAGTAGATTAAGGGTGTTTCTCACACTGGATGTAAAATTAGTTGATTAAGCCATAAGAATCAGCCATTAGAAGTGTCAGTTCATCTAACATTTTTACTAAGAGATGCAATGTTTTAAGTATTAAGTGTGGTAAATTCAAAGTACCTGCGATCTTTGGGTTGATTGGAAGAGATAACTTAATGGGATGAGGCATAAGAAGAATTAAGGGTCATTACCGATTAGAAACGGATGGATCTTTACTGCACAGCCTCCATTAAGCTGTGGTTTCAGACTCTAATCCAAGCTTGTGTTTCACAGACTTGTTGAGCCCATTAAAGAAATGGAAGTCTCGCTATCTGATGGAGCAGAATGTCACCAAGTTACTACAGCCTCTATCTCCAGTCACACCGCCCCCTCCCAATCCAGGATCAAAGAGTCCCCAGCTGACCGCACCTGGTTCATCTCATCCAGGAGAAGAGGATTGTCGAAATGGATACAGCCTCGTGTTCTCACCAGTCACATCTCTTACTACTGCTAGTCGCTGTAATACTCCTCTGCAGTTTGAGGTGATTTGGGTTTGGTTGTTGGGAGTGCTGGATTGTGAACATTATGTGCACCTCATTTCAAATACAACGTCATATGGAATGTTTCTTTCCTGTGTTCCTTCACTGTCTTGACAAAAAATGGGAAACTTAAGGGTCAGTGTGACCTATTACCTGGTAGCCTCTCATCTTGGCAGCCACCCTCCCTTTCCCTTATTAGGAACACAGATCACATTCATCTCTTGCATGTAGTCCATGAGCCTCCAGAACTTGTAAGTAATGCTCAGCATGCTGGATCTCCTTCTTTATCTTTACTGTATTCTGTGGTTAAAATAGGCCTCTAGCTGCCTACAGTAACCATAATGATACCAGCTTGGGAGTTCACATAATACTGATTGATTGTGTCTCTGCTTCCAGGCCTTTAGTCCTTAAAGCATCTTTCCCCTGTCATTTTGTATTCTCATCATAGCCTAAGCATACAGAGATTGAGATAGCATTGGGAGATGGCTTACGGTACATGAGGTAGTGGTTTGTGTTCTTCTGTTTTTTTCTTACTCTAGGCTATTGCCCTTGTTAATCTGTATTAGGAATGAGAGGCAGACAAAGGGATAGCACCATGCATTTGTCAGACTGACATTCTTTGGATTAAGTAAGAAAAGTGCGTCTCTGGCATTGCAAGAATTTTGAATCACGTTTGCTAACCAATTTATATGTACAACGTATTCATGTGATGTTTATTACTTTATCATTAAATGGACACGTTTTCTTCTCAGAAACATTTATTCTCACCGATGAATACATTTAGTCCCTTCCTTGTATTTCTCCAGATATGTTCTCTGATAACGGTGAATATTCTAGCCAATGCCATCCTCCCTGCTCAACTCTGAGGAGAACATGAGGATTAATAAATAACCTGGATTTTAAATGGCTTAACTCAGAAAAGAGTAATAGCAAATTTGGGAAATGACTGCATCTGACCCTAGACCCTTTGGGAGCACAACTGCTGACAGTGGACAGGGCTCCTGCTGAAGAATTGGTGTTTTCCTTTGTCGTGAGGGGAGCTGCCCTGACCCACGTTTACTCCGGATCAAATACCCTATGTCAGATTAAACTAAAGCAGTTAGTTTTTCATGAGAGCACACGCCCCAGAGTGTAGCATATTATAGGGACTGAGTTTCTTCCCTGTGTTTTATCAGTGCATGTTTTAGTGTTCGTGGAGATGAAAGTAGAAGGTGAGCTGCTTTCCAAAGCAGCCTTATTTTGCATGGAGTGCACTCCCTCTCCTTTGGAGCAGTTTGTATAATTAAGAAGCGCCATGTGAGTCCAAGGTGTTTTTACTTCTTTTAAAAGAGGTCAAAGATCAAGTTAATGCTATATGGTTCAAGCCTAATGTTGGAATACCAAGAGGCAAAGTCGATATTTTTATGTAATATTTTTAGTGGGACTTCCCTTCAAAAAGTGTTTACACTAATTTCAATTTGTGGTTTAACTAAGGAATTTTCACTTTCTCATCAGTAATAGTCAAACGTCCCAATCCTGACTCATCCTCCTCACCATTCTAAGTGTCATACATTTGCTTATGTTCTTACACAGACATGGGGAGTAGGTGTCCCATCAGAAGAAGAGAGCCAAGGGCTACAGCGAAGCCGCATTTTAGACATTGGACACAGAACAATATCCCAGCTAGTGACAGCTTAGTGTGGTGAAGAGTGTTTTTGAAAGAAGAAAAGGGTAAGGTGGCATTTCAGAGGAATGAGGAAAGCTCTCCATGCTGAAGGGTAGGAGGCATGCAATGGAAGAGAACAAGAGCTTGAGGAAGGAGCATTTGAGGAGAAGCGGAAGCAATGTCGGGAGAGCAGTTCATTTAACATCCCCCTTCCACCAAAATCCTTTTCCCTTCTTTCTCTTCCTCCTCCGAGATCCATACACCATTGTCTATCATACACATGCATATAACACCACCCACCTGCCTGCTTGGCAGGAAAAAAATGTGCACCCGACACCCTGGTCTGGTACAGCAGCCATGATTTTCCTTCCACAGTATATGGCAGGCCTGCCACCTAGTCCTCAGTGGGCCAGAGTCCCTCCCCTTGTCCAGGCCCTGGCACCCCATGGCATCTCCAGTGTAAAATTTACCGGTGCACAAGTGTTACAGGGGTGCTGCCTCGGAATACCAAGGAGAACCCGGTCTAGGACACAGACTCTTGAGTCTCAGTAGTCTTTTTTTTTTTTTTTTTTTTTTTTGCCTGTGTTCCCCAAAGTATGATGATTTTAACATTAGAAAGCATTGATAGTAGCTCTCAGGCTAACTAGACTGTATCAAGAACCAAACCTGTGAACTAGAGAGTCCAGGTATTTCAGTTAAGTGTCTCAGATGTGGTAGAGCCTTGTTAAATTCTACATTTCCTGTAATAGCCATTCTGAAAGCACTCTGTCTGCCTGGCCCTGGCAGCCCCCCGCCTGCTAAGCAAACCCCCAGCATGGAAGTGATGTGGCATACGAAAAATTTGGAAATGGGAAGATAAAAAGGGGCTTATGAGAATAAGGAGGATTCAATAACAATAACTCAATAACAACTCAGCTGAAATACAAAATAATGTACTGCCAACTTTCACCAGTTTAATTCCTTCCTGATAGCAGCTTGGGGTGTTGGATTATAACATGACACATTATAGCCTATTTACACATAAATGCTTCCAGAGACAAAAGGATGCATTTCAACAAGACATTCTTTCCATTGAGATGGGTTCTGCAATTAAATATTTCCCCTGTACATTTCTGCTTTCCCAACCCATTCCCTCCCCGCCTACCCGCACCAAAAACAAAAGTCTGGCTAACATCTATGCTTGCTTTTTTTTTTTTTTTTTAAGTTTTTGTTTGTTTTGCTTTGCTTCTTGACTTGGAGTAGATGAATAACAAGATGCTTTTCCCTCCTCTAGAACATATCCTCCCCTGAGAGTTCCCCTGCGCATAGGCCCGAATCCCTGTCACCCGAGGTAGTTATCACACCCATCTCAATCCCACGGGGAGGCTGAGAGTGAGTGCATGGATGTTTGGGGCGGGCTGGGGGAATCGGAGTGAATGGGGTGTTGGGTTGGAGGGTGGCTGATCTATCACAGTAAGGTGAGTGACTCCCCATGTGTGACTGTCTCAGGATGGTTAATGTAGATTGAGGAAAATAAAATAGAGGAGGGGTTATTTGGGGGAAGGGGGTGGGTGAAGAATTTGTTAAAGATGGAATGTAAAAAGTTTAAAGGAAGCCTGAGATGTGATAGAGCTTTGTTAAAGCCTAAGTAACAGATAAGGTCTGTTAAGGAGCATTGAATCAAAAGTTGGTAAGCGCTCTTTTGACTTTATTACTTGAGACTGGTAGAGGCTTCCAGCGGGAGAGAGGCGTCCCTGGGACCTTGTTCCTTATCCAACAGGTCTCTGTGGCCTGATGGCTGGGCTTTGCTTGAGAGGTTGGACTGCTTTTGTGGAAAAGGAAATAATTTTTTCTCTCAGCTCCCTGTTCTTTTTCTCTGGTTCTTGACTGTACACGAAGAAGCTGCTAGACCAGTCTGTGGCTTCTGTGCCATAGACCTTCAGTCAAGCCACGTTGGCTGCACCAGGTAGGGTCTCAGTTAAATGGCTCAAAAAGAGCGGTCGAATGGCTTTTCTCAGAAAAAATGCTAAAGATGTTCAATTTGGATTTCAGTGCTATAATTTAACTGTTACAATCATTGAACAAATCAGGTCATAATTAACTCCACAAATTTACAAGGAGCCTTTTCCTCTTGAAGTAAAAAGGATAGTCTTTCATAATCTTTCAGGAATTAACTAAAATGTATACTCCTCCAATAGCCTAAAATTGGGACTGAACTCAATGACAGTTGATCAAGTTTGGAGTCAGAATGTTTTGAAATCAGAGTGGAATTGAAAGGGTATGTTCTGATGTTGGGCATCTTTTCTCTCAGTGTTAACTGGGAAAGTAACACTCTTCCCAGTGGTTCTCAGATAGCGCTGTCTGGAGATTAACATGGTGTGGTATCTGGGTTTCTCGGACCATTCTTTGTGTAGAGTTAGCTATAATTGACCCAGTGGTGAAAAATGTGGGTTTAAAGATGATAATGATCTCTATAGGGTTATCTCGTTGACCTGTGGTGGGAAAGTCTTCGGTTAGCAAGTGATGACAACCAAATCCCAGCCAGGTGGTTATTTGGTCCAGGACATGGTTTCATTTGCTCAGCTGTGCTGGGTCTTCGAGGCATTCTGAGTGGCTGACATAGATGAGAAGAATTGAGGAGCCCTGCACCTGCTTGATAGTGAAAGTGAATGCAGTACTGGCTGGTTGACGTCCGAACCCCATCCTCCTTTACTGAACCAGGAGCTTACACTTTCTGCTTTCCTTCACCTTTCTTCCCCACCCCTCCTTCCATCACTGTTAATGTAGGAATTGAATAACACCAGTCTCACCTCTGTAGTGTGCATGGGGCTCCAAGAAATCCGAAGTCCTTTAGTGTAGCAAACCTGATGAAAGGCTAAGCAGGCAAAATAGTCACATTTTGCCAATTATCTAATTCTGACTTACCCTGATGCTCTACGGAAAGACTTGAAAGCAGATTGGGAGAGGCCAGGGTTCTTTAGCAATCTGGCCTCTATGCACTGTTGCTGCTTGGGACTTGTACAGGTGTTAATGGCTTTCTCTCCTCCTGTACTTCCATCTTTACTTGTTTACCTGTGTCCTTTCGCACTTCCCTTCCTTCCTGCCCATTGACATGTCCCTTTCTCCCCACCCCATGTCTCCATGGATTTATGTTCTTCCAGCTTTGTCACCGAAAAGACATCGATTTGACAAAAGTCGGATACCTTGACTCCAACACTAACAACTGTGCTGACAGGCCCTCTCAGCCCAACTCAGCCCATTCTGACCTGGCTCCTCATCCTTCTGTCGGGCCCACGTCTGAGTCTGGCTTTCCAAGCAGGAGTGGAGATGGACATCAGACCCTTGTAAGAAACTCGGACCAGGCATTTCGGACAGAGTTTAACTTAATGTATGCCTACTCCCCTTTGAACGCTATGCCTCGAGCAGATGGACTGTATCGAGGTTCTCCCCTGGTAGGGGATAGGAAGCCTTTCCTTTTGGATGGGGGATACTGTTCCCCCGCAGAAGGGTTTCCCAGCAGATACGAGCATGGATTTATGAAAGACCTTTCTCGTGGACCCATGTCACCTGGTGGTGAGAGGACCTGTGAAGGACTCCCATCTGCCCCGCAGAACCCACCGCAGAGGAAGAAGGTGAGTGGCCCCATGATGTGAGCCCCTGTGAAGAAGGCACTGTAGGGCTGCAGATGACGGTTTGTTGCTAGAGCTTCAGTGGAAGGCTAGGAGGACCCAGGAGAAAGTGGAGAGTAGACAGGCAAGAGGAGCCAGGCCCTAAAGAGCTTGCCAACAAGTCGGACCTTACTTGCAAGTAATGCCTGTTCTAGAAATCTCAGCCATGGCTTATCTATTGGCTGCCTGCTGTGTGTTCACGTGGCTCAGTGTTAACGAAAGTAAAGATAGTAAGACATAGTCTCTGCCCATGTTGAATAAAAAACAGTACAGTTTGGCGACTGCTTAAGTATGCAGCAAACTTAAATGCTTGCTCTGTGCAATGTACTAAGAGGCAATTCAAAGGGTGCAGCAGTTTTAAAGAAAAACAGCTTATGTTTTGTCAGTTCTCAAGCTGTAGGCACGGTTAATCCCCACACTAAAATGGGTAATTTTCCATTTGTAAATGCTGAGGCTGAAGAAGCAAGTTTTACGTTAACTCGTTTGATCAAGATCAGGTGAGCGAGCGTTTTGAGTGGGGATGTTGGGAAATGTAGGTGGAGTGCTTTGGGTTGCTGTGGTGTCTTCATTTTAATAGTGCTGAGGATGAGGCTCCAAGACTGACTGACCGACCGCACTGACATCAACGTCCGTCCCTAGAAGACGGAGTAGTACTGACCTTGGGGGTTCCAAGACTGAGAGCAGAAAGCCTCAGCTCTGTCCCACAGGAGCAGCTGGTGGTTTTGAACTGCCAACTTTATGATTAGCATCCCCAACTCATAACCGCACTACGCAATCAGGGACTCCTTGGGACGAGGCTAGGGATGCTGAAAGTCCTCGGTTTGGGATAGTCTCACATCATGACAAGTTTCAGTACTTCTCCAATGTTTATGTTACAGTAAGACACATTACTAGAATTGTACCCATTCCCTTCTGAGGTTAGTGTTTTTAAAAATTGCTCAAAACTTTGTTTTCCTACTTTTGTTAAGTTTTTATTTCCTACTTTTGTTATGCTTTGATTTGGACACCAGAATGACAAAAGGCAAATTAGGATGAGCTAGATGGTAATGTGTCTAGAAAATGTTGCATTAACACCATCAACTATTGGGAACAATGAAATGGCAAACTTTTTTTTTTTAAGACCATTTTATTGGGGGCTCTTACAATCCTTATAACAATGCATACTTCAATTGTATAGAGCATATTTGTAGATCTGTTGCCATCGTTCTTTTCTAGATATTTACTTTCCATTGGGCCCTTGGTATCAGCTCCTCTTCCCCCATCCCCACCCCAACCCTTGTAACCCATTGAATAAATTATAAATTATTATCTTCATATCTTACACTGACCGCTGTCTCTCTTCCCCCATGGTTTCTGTCATCCGTCCCCCATCGATCATCGGTTCCCCCTTACTCTCCAGCAAACACTTTTATAATTATGATCTTACTTAATTATTTTGTGCAGAAGTGACTAGAATTATTTGTTTTTTTGTTTTTAGAATTGCTATTTCTGAAACTTTTGCATACCTGTTACATACCAGGCTCTATGCTGGACTTTGAAAATAAGGAGCCAAATAGACTGAATAAACAGCCTTTCCCCTCACAGAACTAACAGGAGCAGGCAAGACTCTGGTAGATTGACCCCAGTGTAAAGAGCGCGTTCAGGGCTGGGGGGGGGTGGGGGGCGCTGGGGAATGAGCTGACACAGGAGAAAGAAAATGATGATGGCAGCATATGTACGAATGTGCTTGACACAATAGATGGGTGGTGATAAGAGCCTATGTAGCAACGATGAATAATAACTTTCCTCTAGTTCCTAAATGCTTCCTTCCCCCCTCCCCCAATATCATGATCCGAATTCTACCTTGCAAGTCTGGGTAGACCAGAGGATGTACACTGGTACAGATAGAAACTGGAAATATAGGGAATCCAGGGCGGGTGATCCCTTCAGGACCAGTGGTGTGAGTGGCGATACTGGTAGGGTAGAGAGAGAGTGGGTTCGAAAGAGGGAACCGATTACAAGGATCTACATGTGACCTCCTCCCTGGGGGATGGACAACAGAAAAGTGGGTGAAGGGAGACGTCGGACCGGGCAAGATATGACAGAATAAAAATTTATAAATTATCAAGGGCTCATGAGGGAGGGGGTAGCGGGGAGGGAGGGGAAAATGAGGACCTGATGCCGGGGGCTTAAGTGGAGAGCTAATGTTTTGAGAATGATGAGGGCAATGAATGTACAAATGCGCTTTACACAATTGATGTATGTATGGATTGTGATAAGAGTTGTATGAGCCCCTAATAAAATGATTAAAAAAGGGGGAAGAAAAATGACTTCCCTAAAAAGAGCCTGTTCTCCAGCAGCAGAGGAGACCTGTGAGGCTGTGGGAGGATAAAGGAGGTCTAGCTTTCGTAACAGAAGAAGCTCTTTTTTCCGTCCCGTAGATGATGTGGGAGCTGAGATGTTTCCAAGTATACATTTTCTGCACTCATCTTGCTGAAGTATAAACTGGATCTCATTGCTTCTCCTTTGTCCTTCTACTGCAGGTTTTCAATGTGTAAAACATAATCCGTAATAAAACCCTAGATATATCTTGAAAAAACTGGAACATTGTTTTCTTTTCCTACCTCTTGTTTCAAGCATAAAGCAAAACCGCGAACTCAGAGGCTCCTCAGGAGGGAGGAAGAATTATTAGAATCACCTGGGAAGTCCCATCCACTTGGGCAAGCTTCCCAAACGTTGCACCCTCCTTTTTCAGGCCGCTCCCAGGGCTGCCGATGGCTGTGAGAGTAAGAGCACAATGGGAAGGGCCTGGTGTGCTCACACAGTTTTTTCCAGGCAGAAAGGAAGTTGATGCCTGCTGTTAAATGGCCTTCAGAACGATCATCTCCTGGTTCGGTCTCTCCTTATCAGCTCTGACTGCTTTAAACATGGAGCCGTGCTCAGGGCTCTCTCATACCTAGAAAGATTAGCCAGAGTTCATTGATGCCTGTTTTGTTTGACTTGACTCAGGGTTTGCTAGCATCCCACCTTCTCTCCTCTTCCTGGTGTTGGTTAGTAGCCAGAGCCTTGTTTCTCTTCTAGGTGTCCCTGCTAGAGTACCGAAAACGGAAACAAGAAGCCAAGGAGTCTGCCGGTGGGGGAACTGGCTCCTTGCAGAGCAAAAGCAAGTCTGCAGGCGCCGGGCCAAGCAGCAGTGATGCAGGCTCTGACTCCGGCCCCCACGGCGGACAGGGCTCCTCAGCCCGAGCCCCGTCTTCCCCTCACAAAAAATTCTCTCCGTCTCATTCCTCTGTGTCCCATTTGGAGGCGGTAAGCCCATCAGACTCCAGGGGCACAACGTCAACTCACTGCAGGCCTCAAGAGAATATCAGCAGTAGATGGTAAGCTTACACTTGATGCTGCACCTAGGATCATTCCTAAATTTGCCCTGTTTACATGGGAAGTCGTAGCTGAGAGAAACGGCAGGCAGTGCTCTCTGTCCTACTCGGCCTACTTAATAGTACCAGCCATAACCCCGCATTTGGCGGAGGCAAAGAAATGCCACCAAGTCTGCAGAGAAACCTTTTGGACATCATATACTCATGAACACACAGATGAGCTCTGTTCTTGGTGGGCACTGACACTGCCCCTCCTATTTCCTCATCTCATGTCAGAGGTAAGTCGGGTCCAGCCAGTGTATAGCTCTGCTCCATGGACTGGAGTCAGTCTATGCAGAGGAGCTTGCACAGCCCTCTAGAAGAATTTGTCTGGTTTGGGGGGAAACCAGGAGTGAAGGGATTGATAGTGTTTGTGGCAAGTCGCGGAGTACCACATGAGTGTGCACCGAGAGTGCAGCTCGGTGTTCAGGGATCCAAGCTGAAGACGCTGAGAAAGAGGACACAGCTCAAAAGAGTGGCAATCCAGTCATCTGTGAAACACTTGTTGCGGATATTGTATGCCACACGCACCGCTTACCGATGAAAATAAGCATTTCAAAACGGAGGTTAATAGAAGCTGTTGGGTTTCGTTTGCTTTAGAATGGTTTTTTCTTTTGCATTTTTGACTTGGTTTGAGGCGGTGGAAACAGTCTTGTTGGGAATTAATTCTGAAGAAAACGGGAAGAGACTACATTGAGAGAATATTGTACCAGCCTCTGTCGAGGCTTCATTTGGTCGCGACACGGGGTTCTAAAGTTCTGTACCTTGAACTTGAACTTTTCCCAGGATGGTTCCCACATCGGTAGAACGGCTTCGAGAAGGAGGGAGCATCCCGAAGGTCCTCCGGAGCAGTGTGCGTGTGGCCCAGAAAGGAGAGCCCTCTCCCACATGGGACAGTAACACCGCAGAGAAGGACCCAGGTGAGCCATGGCCTTCTGCCATTGGTTGGGTTCCTGGCTCAGGAGCCAGGCTCCACACAGTTGAACTTCATTTACGAGGCTGAGTTCTAACTCAAGCTCGGGTCTGCTCTTTGGGGTGACACTGTTCGTGGGGCCTAGTGTCGCTGCTCTCTGTCTGCTCTTTTCCCCAAGGGATGCCTTTCTGTAACTCTTCTCTCCAAAGGCCTGGGAATCCGCCTTGACGAAGGATGAAAGAAAACACAAGGGTGACAGAAATCACATCAGGCACTTTAAAAATCACCCATAATTAGCCTCCCGTGTGCTCTTCTGCCATGCCGTACTCACCCAGTTTTCACAAAGAAAGGGTTTTTCACAGCGGTGGGTGTTTCTCACTTAGTCTAAGATGTCAGTGTGATTTTCTGCTCTTCCAGACCCTGCCGATGCCGAAGGCCCAGAGGCACTGAGTTCGGCACTCTCTAAAGGGGCCACTGTTTACAGCCCGTCCAGGTACAGCTATCAGGTAAGACAGATTGCTGCTCTCTGGGCAGGGGAACATGTTCCAGGTTCCAGATGTTTGGAGGACCTGGCCTCCTCTGTGGTTGAGATGCTTTTATGTGAAGAGGCTTTTCTTTTCAGCCGCCTGCTTGCTTACGGGTAATAAAAGGTCAAATAAACATGGTGGCCAGAAAGCACCATTTTTGCTGTCTTTGGTACCCCAAAAAGAACCTGTGATTTGAAAGAAAAGGGGAGGAGTTACTGTAAATGTTCACAAGCTGTTTAACGGGTTTGTTCACCTCTATATATTTTTCCTTCCAATACTTTGTAGCTCCTGCAGTGTGACAGTCCACGGACAGAATCACAAAGCCTCCTTCAGCAGAGCCCCTCCCCTTTTAGAGGACATCCCACGCAATCTCCAGGGTACAGTTACCGAACTCCAGCACTGAGGCCTGGAAACCCTCCCTCCCATGGTTCTTCAGAGTCATCCCTCTCTTCTGCGTCCTATTCCAGCCCTGCCCACCCTGTTTCCACAGACTCACTGGTCCCATTTTCAGGGACACCAGGGTATTATAGCAGCCAGCCGCAGTCCGGAAACGGCCCTGGGAGCAGTCTTCCGAGGAGGAACTGCCCTTCGAGTGCTGCGAGCCCTCCCCCACAGGGCCCCTCAGACTCCCCAAGCCCAGACTCGGTTTCGCAGTCCAGCACAGGAACTCCGAGTTCCACCTCCTTTCCTCAGAACTCTCGGTCGTCGTCGTTGCCATCAGACTTACGGACTATCAGTCTGCCCAGTGCTGGGCAGTCAGCTGCCTGCCAGGCCTCCAGGGTATCTGCGGTTTCCAATTCACAGCACTATCCACACCGTGGGAGTGGGGGTGTGCCCCAGTATCGACTCCAGCCGCTGCAAGGGTCAGGAGTCAAGACTCAGACAGGACTTTCCTAGGGCTTCTGGACTTGGGCATACAGACGGAATGAGCCCATGGCTGCTTCCTGCCAGCTGCCTCTGGATCCTAGGCCAAGCATCCTGCTGGGGAAGGGAGGTACACGGTGCCAGAGGATTGGGGTCTGGTCAGCAAGAAACAAGACTTGTGGTCCCGACTGGCCTCTGGCCTTGGAGAAAGATGTAAATCTTGTCTGAAGCAGTGACTATAAAGAAGTTTCTCCCTGCTGTTAAGGGGTACATTGTTGATAGGCAAATGGTGTTTTGGTTAGTAACGGTTCTAAGTGCAATGAGTTGTGTTGAAGCCTCATCTCCCAACCTTGCCCGTAGCCTATAGTCACTTGTGCAGTGAGAACATCGTTTAATTTTTTTTTTTTAATTCTTTTCAAAGGAAAAAAAAAGTTAAAAGAGCCAATCTTAATGCCCAAAGCCATCTGAGTAGCATAAGGGTTTTATGCACAAAGGACACAAAGGTAGGCATGTAAATGTTCGCCTTGAAACACCTAGTCTAAAAGGAAGTGATCTGGCCGAGGTAACACCCACCAAAAACATTCTCAAGGCTTTGCCTTAACACCACCAATAAGTAGTAAGGCGCGGAGCAGGCTCTGCCTGAGGAGTGCCTGGGTCTCTGAAAAGGAGCTCATGCGCGGTCGGCTCTTGATCGAGGCCAGGAGCAGGTTGTCTTGGTAAGTGCAGGTTCTCTGCAGCTCCGGCTCTTACAGTCCCACTCTTCCAGCGAGTCCACGCCTCAGAGACCTGTGAAGCATGTAGGCAAAAGAAACGGTGAATGGTGCGTGAGATCGGCCAGCTAGATGGCTCCTTGTTCGCCTTGGGCAATAAATTTGATTGGGATTTGATACCCAAGCGGTTTGGGGATTGTTTGAGGTTTTGTTTTGTTTTGTTTCTGCTCCCAATCAATCAGGAGTTGAGGATCCCATGAGTCGCACCCCCCTCCGTGGCTGGGGGGAGTGCACTCATGGCTGCAGGGTGAGAATGGTGGAGTGGCACGGCCAGGACTGGGACTGTGTGGGCACACCCCATGTTGCTTTGGGTGGTGGGGGGTTGCTCTTGCTGGAGAGTGGACAAGTTGAGAGTTACCAAGCCAGCCCACACCGCGCGCTGCACTGTGCTGAGTGAGCAGTGAGAGCAGAGTGGCTTCTCCCCGTCAGTGCGCTGTGCCTGCTGTACTCCCCTGGGGGCCTGGAGCCAGGCCAGGCGGGGTACACAATCTTTAAATTCCATACGGTTGCCAGCGGCTTTCTTTCACTTGTTGACTGTAATATCCAGCGTGTTTTTATTTATCTAATTTTGTATTCAGTTGTAACCACGGTAGGGGTAGTGAGTGTCTGACAGGTGTACACCCTGGTGCTGCAGTGGACCTTACTTCTTTTCTTTGGGACAAGATAATACTGTGAGTCTCCCTCCTTCCTTCCCTCTTCATTGTTTCTCCTCCTCCTCCTCCCTCTTTGCCCAGCCTCTTGCATACCCAGCCTTTCACCTTCTCCTACAACTATCAGATGCACAGTCCTCTCTCTCTGTGTGTGACTGTTACAAAATTTCACTTTTCAGAATTGAAATCAGGTGTTTGCTCACATGAGGGGAGATATTTTATTTGTTTAGTGCTGAGACTTCAGCAGAGTTCTTCTCTTTGTTGTCCCCACAAGCCCATCCGTCTGGGAGAGCATAGGGAGTGGAGTCGAGCTGCCTGGGATGCTGGTTTCTCTGTATATTATATAAAGCGTATGTCAGTGTCTCTCCATTTGGGCTGGGGTTCGCATTCTCCCTCTGTGTGATAACCAGGGGGAGAGGCCAGCGGGCAGGCTGCCCTCACCCTGCCTGGCACGCGCAGAGCCCCCAGCCACTCTGTGTGGGCAGGGTGCTGTCAAGACCAGACCTCTTGGGGGGTGGGGGCGGGCGGGTGGGGGGACTCTTGGAAGAGAAGAAGTATCGCTTCTTTCTCAAGTGGAGTGTTTACACCTTGCTGTAACATTTGAACTTTCACAAGAGATGTAATAATTTTGATAATAAAATTCTTAACCATAATAATCCGAAGTTGAGAGCTTCTTTGTCTTCCTGTGACTTTGGCTTGCCAGGATTTCCTGATGCTATCCTCACTTGGAGAGGTCACGGTGGACTCACACTGGGGAGAATGTGAGAGTCACGTGCCCCCTATCCGGATGCCAACTAATCCCCCTCTCAGCTTTCTGCAGCACTGGGGACTCAACCTCGGATACTGACCAGGATGGAGACCCTGGCCGTGGCAGGCAGCAGCCTGCCTTGGCTGCTGGATTTGACGCTGGTTAAAATGGGGAAGTGGTGGGAGTGGGCAGGTGGGGTTCCTGCCCCCCCGTGGAGCTTGTATTCTGGATGTGGGATTCTCCATCAGTGTGCATTTGAAATAGCCATGACCATGTCACTGCTTCACAGCCAGTAGGGACCTGGGGAGGTTGAATGGGGCGCCTGGTTCATGGAAGGCAGGCTCAGAACTGAACCTTGAGCTGATAAAATGGTAATTAAGGGACAGTGTGAGCTTGGGGCATTTCCTAGGCAGTTACAACAGCAAATGCAAAAATAGTTGGATAGAAAGGGCTTGGTTGGGGAATAGTGCATGCATGTGCGGTTAAAGTGAGAGTGGTTGAAATTCTAATGGAGGCAAATAGAGATCGGATCTTAGAGCAGAGGTCAGCAAACGCTACAGGTGAATGGGCAGCTTGTAGGTAACTTGATCGTGGCTGTTGCTGTAGTGAGTTTCAAGTTGGGCTGCTCAGTGCCCTGTTCAAACCCACCAATCTCTGCCCTGGGGGAAGATGAGGCTGCCTGTTCCTGGAGGACTCAGGTCCCTGGAGAGCAGTCCTGTGTCCTCCAGGGTCACTGCATCAGGGGCAAGTTCATGGCAGAGGGTTTGGGTTTGGTTGAAACTATTCGACTCTGTCACCGTCGTGCAAAGGCAGTACGTGGCTACATACCTAAAGAATTTGAGTTCTAACTGCACCGTGGGAACCGTTTGAAGATGAGCAGAGAAGTTGTTGGGTGTCATCGAATTGGATGCACAACAGAACAAAACACAGGCCAGGCCGCGCCTGTGCCTGCGCCCATTGCTGCGGCTGAGTGACTTCATCTAGTTTGTGGCTGATTGGTGGAAGCCTGTTGAAAAGAAGAGGGATTAGAAGCTGTTGCCTGAACATTTCGGAAGTTGTTGGGACAAGCAACTTTTGTGGCTCGTATTAATAAAGGGGATCCAGAGAAAATAGTTTGCATCAGGATTTGCTAGTGGGACGTGATTGGCAGTATTGAGGATTTTACTTGCCAGATATTTAACTCAGTGGATTTTGCTAGGCACATAAGGGATTCCTAGGTAGAGGTAATATTCTTTAAGACATTTCGAAAGTGACCAACTGGAAACAAATGCCTGCCTTCATGAAGGACCCTTTGAAGTTGTCATGGGGATGCCTAGGTGATCTACCACCAGCAACACCTGACGGCATGGGACAGAAGAGTAGTATAGATGGTGCTCGATATTTGGTCTGATAATTCTATGAAGAATGCCCGCCAGGTGCCAGAATTTAAAGATGAGAAGATGAGGCCTAGTCCAAGTGTCCGAACTATCCTACAGGTAAAATGTAAGTCTGCCTGGTTTCTGCCACAGTTTCATTCCCTAATCCTTTACTGTACACCTGGTCAGTGCTGAGAATATAGGGGTAAGCCAGTAAACTGCTTTAAGAATTAATCTATAGACTATTGTTAACAATTACCTAATCACTAGGTCCCTTGGTATGGTATAAAAAGCTGAATGGTATTAAGTAAACCAGTGAAGTGGTGACACCTTATATATTAATTTAAGGTTCACACATGCTTCCATTTATGTTATTGGCTACCTTGTTCAAACAATATTTAAGGTAGGTGTTATCCCTGGTTTATACTTGCTTATTTAAAAAAAAAAAGTGTGAGAATAAAGCTCTTCCTAGATGTCTCTAGTAGGTAGCCTGACCCAAACCAACAGTTAAGGAAAGTTGGCGGTAACCCTGGCAATAAATAGAGCCACCTAGGGATGCTATAAGGGGAAAGACTTAACTAACGCGGGGGGGGGCATACTCTTCACTAGTCTAACCTAAAGACCTGAGTCTGGTCTTTGGGGCTTAGTTTGAGAGGGAACCCCCAAAATGACCTGACTTGAATGAGATAAGCCACTTGCTTTTAAGCTACACCGATTGCCAATTCTTCGAAAGGGCTTCTTCAGAAGGTAAAAGAAACGGCCCGAGTTTACAAAGTAAACAGCTGGGAGGGAGAGAACAGAGTGACTTGGCAAAATGGTGTCCCCCTTCTTCTTGCTGCTCCTACAGTCAGAAGATGACCTGAGAAAAGAGTCTACAAATCATGGTTTGTCATATTCCCCAAATTCCCCCATAAAGCCCCAAACATGATCATGAAGCCACAAGCCTTGATTCTGCCACCAAGCTAGATGAAAAGGTGTCCTTGTGGCCCTCCCAGCAGGACTAGGCAGGGCCAGTAGTCCAGTCCCGCAGGACACCGACTGCCTCTGGAAGAAGCAGTGGGGCGCCCCGTGTCAGAATCGTCAGTACATTCTCCGGAGCAAAGCCATCGGGAAGCAGCGGCAGAAGTAGGAAAAGGAGGTTCGTTCAGAGGTCCTTGGTCAGGACTAAAGTGACTAGGCCGAGAAACTTCATTCTAAGCAACAGCGGTCCATCCAAAACAAAGCTTGACACTGAAAGGAACTCAGCAATTTACCCAAATTGAACAGGTTCGTCAAAATAGGAAAAGGAATAAAAGTATGTAACATTAGGATTGCTCCACAAAATCTACAATGTGTTGACCTTGTAGGGACCATCTGTGAAGATTGAGCACCGCCTCTTCTGTTTTAACTCTGAGTGGTCATAAAGCATAAGTATTCTACTTTGTGTTGAATTTAAACTGTGAGGTATGCTTCTCACAGTTTGTATTTTGACGCGTTACCCAAAACGGGTACTCTGAAACTAGAGAAACTCTAATCGTGCCTACTCTTAAGGAACACTTTGTGTGAAAATATGCAACAGAAAAGGTTCAAATTAAAAAGCCCCAAGAGTTGTAAGAAGAAAAAATAGCATCCCTATAGGCATTAAAAGTATGCCAGACATGCAGATTTATAACCTAAATGTTCTGAGTGGGCTAAAAGCACAGCTTCATGAGGGAATGTGCATGGCACTCGTGCTCCAGTCTGAAGTGCCCTTTGAGGACATACACACGAAAGGCAAGTCAAAGAAGAGACAACCATGTAGAAGCTGAGGATAGGCTCGCGAACAGAGCAAATGCCACAGACCGATTCCAGACAACTTTCCTGAAACACTTGGAGCTGCTCATTTTAAGAGCATGTTGCGTGCCCCGTATATTCAGAATGCCCAGCACCAAGACCTGGGAGCACTGGTGAGCTGCAGCAAGCATGGACGCCCAGTCATTCCCCCTGCTCTCCGGGAGAAAGTGACGTGCTACCGGACATTCTGACATCCGGGCATGTTGGTTCTTCAGTGAGTTAGAAACTGGACCAGCACAGTGAGAGCCAGAAACCCGGGTGTTCGGGGTCTTGTGAGTTCACCACCTTTGACAGCCCGGTCACTTTTCTCTCACTGTTGAGTGGGAATTCATTTTCCTGCTCTGACAGGTTTCTGCACCAGACAGGTTACGGACAGGTTTCACTGTGTACACTACTCAAAAGACAAAGACAGCCAGAAATTTTGACCACCAACTGGACTTTGAGAGTGTAAGAGCAGCACGCTCATTAACATGCAAGAACTCGGGGATCTTTCCTGTGATAAATACTTCTCTGGGGAGCTCTAAGAAAAGTAAGCAGCAGCAGATAACCAGACTGACTCATAGTCTGGCGCCAGGCTGTTAGCTAAGAGGGGCTTTGGAGAGTTTGTGGGTAAGTGGAATTGAAAGAAGGTTTTTCCCATTGTTTTTTGGAGCCCCCTCTTATAGGATAGTTAAAAGGCAATACAGAATAGTACATTTGCAGTCATCCTAAATGGTAATATTGATGGGCTGCTTTGTTGTGTGTGATATATTCCAACTTCCTAAGCGGCTGTGATTAAGATCCTCAGAAAGGAAAAGTGCAGGCTGATGGGGCTTTTGGAGAAATTGGAAACCCTTGTTCTCACTGCTGGTGGAATTGTAAAATGGTTCAGCCGCTGTGGAAAACAGTTTAGAAATTCCTCCAACTTAAATAGAATGGCTCTTTGGTCTCGGCCGCAGAAGTGAGATGAGGGGGACGTCCTCCTTCGGAAAGCGTCGCAATAAGACGCACACCTTGTGCCGCCGCCGTAGCTCCAAGGCCTGCCATCTTAAGAAGCCGGCCTGTGGCAAATGTAGCTGCCCAGCCATGCGCAAGAGAAGGTATAACTGGAGTGCCAAGGCTAAAAGACAAAATACCACCGGAACTGGTCGGATGAGACACCTATAACTTGTAGACCACAGGATTCCGTGAAGGAACCAACTCCTAAACCCAAGAGGGCAGCCGTTGCAGCGTCACGTTCATCTGAAGGATTTCAACATTAGTTGTGCAATAAATGTTCTCATATTAAGAAAGGTCCAGTAATTCGCCTCCCAGGTGTATACTCAGAAAGGATGAAAAGCAAGAGAACAGGTAACGGGTCCACCAGTGTTCACTATATAGCACTGTTGACAGTAGGCAAAAGGTGGAAATCAGTTAAATGTCCAGCCAATGACTGACTAAAATGTGCTGCAAACCTACAGTGGGCTATTCTGCAGAGAAAAGTCCTGGTACATGCTACAGCATGGATGAACCTTGAAAACCAGTGAAATAAAGTTACAGAAGGGAAAATCATTACATGATCCCACTTTGAAATAACTAGGACAGGCTGCTGTATTGAGACCAGAGTTTATTAGTGGTTTACCAGGGTGGACAGGAGTAGAAAAGAGGGAGTCCCTGCTTAAGAGACACTCCACTTAGGGATGTTTGAAGCGTTGGGGGAAAGACTTAAATCTTTTCATTCAACCCTAGTCCATTTCTCCAACTGTTTCAAATACCACTCTTCATGCTAATTCATCCATCCCCTTCTCAATAAATGGCTTTGCCTCCTTCACCGAGACACTGGTGCTGGCAGGCAAGCATCTCCTGGATGTCACACTTCCATTTGAAGGCTCCCACATTTGTCTAGTGCTGCAGAATGGGCCGTCCTTGAGACCAACCTCTCCACCCTGGGGCTGCTGACCCCCGTCTCCCCAAACCAGGCAATTGTGCCATCTGTCATCTCTATCTTCAACCTCTGAACTTGCTATTGAATGTGAACATGCTGAACTCACACTGAAAAAGGTTCTCCCTGTTTGCGACATGCTGGTTCTTGTCCACTGCTGATGCACTGAGTGTCATTCTGGAACTCCACTCATTTCACCACCCTAACTACATTTCCCCCCAAATTATCCTCATTCAGCCCATTCCCCATTCTCTTCCAGGACAGACTTCTGTTGGGCTTTCCCCACGCTCCTGAGAAAGCTCTCAACGAAGAGACAACAGTCTCTTACTCCAAAATCCAGTGGACACATTTTTCTTTCTCATACTAGATCTCTCTGCAGTGTTTGAATAGTTGGCCTCAATCCTTTGTTGCCATATCCCAAACTCTTGATTCTTTGTGGACATCTTGTTCTAATTCCCCGTTAAACGTTGGCATTTTCCAGTATTCCATAGCATTCACCCTGTAACTGTTCACACCAGAGCAAGTTCATCTGTGCTTCTGGTTTCAACCATTACTTGGAAGTTCATCTTTCTGACCCAGACCTTGCTCTGGAACTGCCAAATCCCTGTACGTCATTTGACTATCAGACATCTCCACTGGGATGTCCCAGATGTACCTTCCTCTGATGTCTCAAGTCTTTCCAAGCCCTCAAGGCAAAAAATCTTACTATCCTATCACTTGCTCTACCTCGTCCCCACAATCCCCTGACTACCCAGTGTCTTTGACTCTACTTAAATAGCTAATTTCTATACCGGTCTCTAACCTGTTGCCCTCAACCACCTTGCTTCGTACTAAGTTTCTGGTTCCCTTTCTCCAAAATTGCCTCCCTCTAGTAGAACGAACCCCTTACACTGAAAGCAGTGATGCATCTAAACTGCAACTAATTGTCCTGCTTGAAATCCTTCAATGAGTTCCATCGCTCGTATGATCTGACCCTGGCCTGTCTCCCCAGACTCCCCTCCCTGTCTCACACTTCAACATTACCAAATCAATTCTCATTCTCCACATTTATCACTCTTGTCTCTGACCTTGGTCGCAAGCGTCCTTCCCGTTCATTCATGGCCTCTGACCCTGGCCTGCCTAACTCCTATTCCTCTACAACACTCGACTCGCAAGTGTAGGATGACTGTTTGCGTGCTTATCTCCCTCACCAGACTGGGTCCTTGTAGAAGGAACTGTTTTGTTCATTTTTCTGGCAGAAGGACTTTGTTGTTGCTGCCAGGTGCCATCAGAACGGTTCTGATTCATAGCAACCCAGTCTACGACAGAGTGAAACCCTGCCCAGTCCTCTGCTGTTTTCCCGATTGTGAAAATACTTTACCAAACACCCTGACAACATGTCCAAAGTATGTGAGACAAAGTCTCGCCCTTGCTTCTAAGGAGCCACCCTGGCTGTACTTCCGTCCAGACTGATCTGTCGGTGGTTCTGGCAGTCCGTGGCACTTTCACATGCACATAAAGCCATCAAAAATACTATGACCTGGGTCAAATGCACCTTAGGGCCCCAAGGTGACATCTGTATTCTTCAAAGTGTTAAGAGATCTTGTGCAGCAGATTTGCCCAATGCAATCCATCATCTGACTTCTTGACTGCTGCTTCCGTGAGCAATGATTGTGGAGCCAAGCAAGATCAAGTCCTTGACGACTTCTACCTGAACCATGAGCTTGGTCCAGTTGTAAGGGTTTTCTTTTCTTTACATTGAGTTGTAATGCAGACTGAAGGCTGCAATCCTTGATCTTCATCTGCAAGTGCTCCAAGTCCTCCTCACTTTGATCCAGCAAAGTTGTGTCATGTGCATATCGCAGGCTGTCAACAAGCTTGCTTCCATCCTGATTCCTCCTCCTCCTAAATCTAGTCCTGTTCGCTGATCATTTGCTCAGCATACAGGTGAAATGAGTATGGTGAGAGGGTGCAACCTGACACACCGGATCTGATTTTAAACCATGCAGTATCTACCCCTTGTTCGGTGTACACAACTGTCTCCTGGTCCATTGTACAGATTCCGCATAAGCAGAGTGTGTTCTGCAATTCCCTTCTCAATGCTATCCATAGTTTGTTAGGATGCACAGTTGAATAAGACAGACATCCTTCTGATACTCTTTTTTAATTGAGCTGGATCTGACATCAGCAATGCTGTTCCCCATGCCACATCCTCTTCTGAATCCAGCCAGCTTGGGTGCTATAACTGTTGTATCATGCTCAGTAAAGTGTTAATTGCTTGTGCTTTTAATGATGCTGTTTGATAATTTCTACATTTCTTTGTCGTGGGTGCAAATATGAATCTCTTCCAGTTGGTTGGCCAGATATCTGCATTTCAACTTTTTTTTTTCTTGCATAGATAAGTAGGTGCTTCCAGTGCTTCATGAGCTTATTGAAAACATTTCCGTGGGCATTCCATCAATTTCTGGAGCCTCTTTTTTGCCTAATGCATTCAGTGCCACTTGAACTTCTTCCGTCAACACATTGATTCTTGATCATATGCTACTTGAAATGGTTGTATGCCCACCAGTTCTTTGTGGTACTGTAACTGTACTCTTTCCATGCTGCCTGTAGCACTCAGTGTTCTGGTTCACAGGCGCCCTACAGGGCAGAGCAGAGCTGTGGGTTTCAGAGACTGTAAATCTGTTCATTGATGAGACAGCTCATCTTTTTCCTCCTGAGCAGCTGGTGGTTTCAGACTGCTGAGTTTACAACCAACTTAACCCACTGAACCACCCAGGGTGCCTTTATCCTTAGAATCCCTCAGCATTACAACTTGAGGCTTGACTTTTTTTTCCCCCTTCAATTCTTTCAGCTTGAGATATGCTGAGTCTTTTCTGGCCTTATAACTCCAGGTTTTTGCACATTTCACTAATATTTTATACCAGTGTAAGTGCTTAACAGATAGTAGGTGCTCAAAATGTATTGAATGAAGGCTCAGCTCATAAGTGCCAAAAGTATATTGATGTTCAAAATTAGCTACCATTGTAGCATATTACAGTGTGCCAAATGGGGCTAAGTAATTCACACACTTCCCTCACATTACTTCTGACCTCCCAGCTACAGGTGTTACACCGGAGGCCTCTCGGCACCTTATTTGCTCTTGTCAGAAGCCTGTGCATTCAAGAGTATGGCCACCTGCCAGCTGCCCACTCCATTTACTGTTCTTAGTAACAGAACCCCAAGTGAGTGGAGGCAGCCATGTGTCCGGTCGACAGGCGACATTTTGGGCCTCTCATAGCGAGGTTTGCCGCATCATTTGGTCTGGGATTTCCGAAGTCCCCTTCAAATGGAATGTGAGCTCGATGGAAGTGACTAGAGCTCCAGCTGCCATCTTCACCAGCCTCCGAAGCCCACGGGGCAGCTCTGCCCTGTCCTGTGGTGACTGTGAGCCCGAACAGTGAGATGGGCGAGAGACTTGAGTGATGCGGGCGGCATGGAAAGAGCCCAGCCACTGTGCCAAAGAGAGCGGCGGGCACACCACCATTTCAAGAAGCGGCACATGACCAAGAATCGATGTACTGAAGGGCGGGCGGACTCGGGTGCACTGGGCGCGTGCGCCAAGAGCGAGGCTCCAGGAGGGGATCACCCACTGAAAAGGCGGGCCCCGATTCCTGGTAACCGTGCGTTGGGCCTATCATAGCCTGGCCAGTCCCCTCCAGACTTTTTCTTCATGTGTCACTAAAATAAACCAACTTGTCAAGTGACACCACCAAACCTGGATACAAAGCAGCTGAAACCCACCCTTCCTGAGACTTGGAGAAACATAAGCCAGCATGGGTGATGTAAAGTGTTTATTTGAACATCATTCCACCTGCACTGAAGCTCAAATCCAGCAGCAGCAGAAGGGATCAGGACCAAAATAAATGTTGCCAAAGTGGATAATGAAGAGTGAGGACTCCTTCAGACAGAACTTACTAATGGAGTGTAGACAACACCAAGCTATCGTAGCACACACACAACCTCAGAGATCCACTGAGCCAAGTCCCAGGGAAGCGCGGGGACCCCCCCCTCGTTCGTCTCCTAGGAAACTCCCACCCACCCAAAGTGAACTCTGAGCCAGGCAGGGCCTGCAAATTTCTTTGTACTGGGAGATCCCAGCTTCTCCAAAGAGAGGGTTTCCTTTTCTCAGTTCACACTGGAAGCTGGAGAAGGGTGCTGGCCTTGTGTCCAAGCCGAAATAGCAAAAGCAAGCCTTATCCAGGCCCTCAGCTCAGGAAAACTTTTCCTGCAAGGACCCCAAGGAAGAGCCCCATATCACCTAGATGTGGAAGGACTTCACTGCAGAGCCAAACAGAACTACCTCTGGGCTGTGGTTGCCCTGGTCTTAGTCCGAGGCCCAGGCGAGGTCAGACCACGCTGCTCCAGCATAGAGACTCACCTTAGTGCTGAAAGCTCCGCTGTTTTCAGGACCTGAAGCCAGGAGGCTCTATATTAAGAATCCAAGAGGCCAGTCATCCCCTCCCAAAGGCTAGAGACCCTTAGGTAACTAGACAAGAGACCTTCTTTGTGCTACCCGGGTCCCCTTGGGCCTTAGCAGACCCAGCTCCATTCTCTGAGGCTCAAGCTCACTAGGGTCTCCCAAGTTGCCCTTCCCTCTGCCAGAGAGATAGCTGGTGGGGGGTAACGTGGAAACTTTGCCCCCAAGGGACCTAGTCTCCCTCTTCTCCGTCACCTGGCACCAGCCCACTCTTACAGAATTACCTGCCTCTGCGGTAAGAGTAAGCCCTCCGGCTGTGGCTCTACCCCACTTCACAAGAGGTGGGGCTCTTGCGCCTTGGCTTCCGAGAGGGCAATTCTGATCTCTTCCCATGGTTCCTTGGGGTGTGGGGGCCCCTTGGACAGTAGGTGCCCTCGCCCCTTTCTAAGTGCAGACAGCACCCCACCCCAGGTCCGTGGCCCATCTCGATGCCTTCTATGCTTCCTTCCTCTTCCTAATTCCGTCTTTCCCTCTGCCTCCCTTCCTCCCCCACCTCCAGTTCTCTTTCTAGCTCAGTCCCCTCTGAGAGCACCATCCACTCTAGCATAGCCTTTTTCCTCCTCCCCCCTTTCTCCATCACTCTCCACCCTTGCTCCTCCTGGGTTTATCACCAGGCCTCTCCATCTCCCTGCCTCCTCCTCTACCTGCCTCTCTCCCACCTGATCCCTCCCTGCATTCCCATTCCTCACCCCTTATTCTGCCTGCCCCTCACTCTCTCCATGCTGCCCCTGCCTCTAGCAGCCCTCCCACTGGGGCAGGGGGGAGGCCTTTGGTTTGTGTTCTCTGAGGAGCTCTCTCCCCACACCCTCCTCCTTGACAAGGGACCCAGGTAGGAGCGGGAGCACCCACCCCCAGGCAGCCTGTTGGGGGAGGCACAGGCTGTGCAGCACCAGTGAGGGGCTCACTGGATGCTGGAGAGAAGTAGGCACGGTGAGGGCAGGAAACTGGGAATCCCGAAGGTTGGAGGGCCACTAGGACTTGGTGGGTTCCAAGCTTCAGGAATCCCACAGTATCTGGTTCCTGATAGGGTCCAGATGGGGGAAACAGGCAGCGTGTGGGTCTGTCTTGGAAGTCCTAGTCAGAGGGTCCAACTCTTAGGGAGATGAACACGAGTTGGCAAATGCATGGCACACACACCACCCGCCCCCTCTTCTGGCTGAGGCAGACATGACAATAGCTGTACCATCCCACCAGACCTGCAGGGGCACTGTGGAGAGCCATCGCACAGTAGGTGGAACCGCTTGGCTGCCCCTGAACTAGGTGCTGGAAGCAGTTGCCCAAGCCCCAGGGTCAGGGGCACTGGATAGCTCTACCCTCCAATACACAGGTAATGAGGGGGGCTGGAAAAACACCTGGCATCTCCCTCGTTTGCACCCTGCCAAGGTGGAGAGAGACACCCCAACGATGAAAGAGGGAAGACTTCTCATCTCCCCACACACATTTCTCACGTACGCACACTCACGCGCACACACACACATTCATGCCTTGGCTCCAAGCACTGCCCATTGGGCTGTGGACCCTGGGCATATCACAAGGCGAGAAGGTGGGCGAAGAAGAAGAGGCAGGGACAGGGGAACAGGCCTGGGGTGGGGACAGGGGTACCCTGTTCAGAGGTGACCTGCAAGTTCAAGTTATGCAGAAAAGTATCAAAGAGGCAGGGCAGTTTCTGCCTTTGGCAGATGCCTGGGGTGGGGGGCAGGGGGGCCACACAAAAGGCAGGAAGGACACATCCTAATTGTCCACTCCTGGGCCCTTCCCCCCACCTCCACCCCCACAACCCTGATAGAGGGGCTGAGAAGTCTGTGCCGTACAAAACAGGGCAGGATCAAGGGCCGCTGTCGAAGCATCCCAGCCACCGGCTGAGCCTCTCCAAAGCCCTGCTCTGGAATCAGAGTGCCCTGTCTGACTTCCACCAGGGCCCGCTGCCCACTGCCCTGCCTCAGACTGCGCCAGGCAGCCTCCCAGTCCGTGGATGGCAAGGAGGCGTGTGCCCTCCCCTTACTGCAGCTCTGATCCTTTGGGAGCGCTGAAAGAAAAGTCCCCCGAGGGCTGGCGGCACGCCGCAAGACGCTGTGACAGATGTGGTGGAATCATCGTCGGTAAGAAAAAGTCCGGTCCACCAGAGGGGCCCAGGGCAGTGTCTTGATGGGGTTCTTGTGGGAGGCAGGGCCAAAGGCCCTCAGACTGCAGCCTCCAGAGGTCCTGCAGGGGTGGGGGGTGGGGGGGTCCTCAGAGCAGGGGGGAAAGGGTGAGGAAAGGCCCTGGGGGCTGTGGGGGCAGAGCCAGAACCTCCGCCCCCCACACCGCCGGGGTCAGCAGGGGCTCTTTCTCACTCCATGCCCCTCCCGGCCCCAAGCCACCCCTCTCTTCCAAGCCAGGCAGGTAGGAGGTGAGAGACGTCAGGTGGAGAGTGGGAGATCTTCCTTCGGAGCTGGGTCGGAGGGGCCGGAGGGCAGAAGACAGGACAAGCGGAGGTCAGATAGACTCCTGAGCTTCCCTCCTGGCCTCAGGGTCCCTGGGAGTGGGCCACAGGACACGGGAGGACCCCCCATCCGGAGACATCACCTCCTGGCCGCAATACCGAGCTCACTGTCGAGCTGACGAAATCTGAGACAGAGACAGAGAAAGAGGGGCGTGAGCAGCAGAGACCACCAGGGCAGCAGGCTCCCCGCAGCGCTCCCCAGGGTAAGATGGGCAGCAGCCAGCCCATGGACCAGCTGGTGTCCTTGGGCAAGCCCCAGCGTGCTCACCTGCACCATGGGAACACTCAGACCTTTCACTGGCCTCTGCACGGTGCCGGCCACATCATACACGTACAGGGCCACGGACTGGGAATGGCGCCCCTAGGCTCACTCACTTGAACTCATCTCGCCTGTCGGGCCCGTTCCTCCCGAGCGAGGGATGGACAGCTCCTGATGATGAAGAGGGGCAACTGAGGGCTCCCCATGTTGATTTAGGGGGAAATCAGCAGAAAATGGGAGGGAAGGGGGGTGGGGCCTGAGCTCACACCCAGGAATCACCTTTCCAAGTCACTTCAGAAAGGCCAGTGGGCCTTGGTCTTTCCTGCACTTCTGGAAGCTGCCACAGGAGGGCGGGCTCTGACCTCATGCAAAAACCCTACAGCCCTCAAGCCTGTTCCACCTCATAGCGACCCAACCCCAGCCTATTGACCTATTCCCAGTCGGGGTGGAACTGCCCCGGCTGTGAAGGAGCCAGCCCTGTGCTCAAAGCACGAAGCCACAGGGCTCCTCACCTCCTGCCACGAGGATAGGAATCACTGGTCTCAGGCTGTGTAGGGAGGAAGCCAGGCAAAGACAGCGGGCCTTCCGCACACTGCCAGGGGGAGGGGGGGAGGGCTGAAGGGGAGGGGGGGGTGGCAGGCTGTTATCACCGGGGTGACCCTGGGCAAGCTGCTTGACCTCACTTAATCTAGCTTTTACGTTGGTAAAAACAAAACAACAAGAAAAAACAATCCCCCTGCCTCCCTGCCTGGGACTTCATGAAGGACTAAAAGCTCTTCCTGAGCCCTCACTGCACCCCACAAGCCTGTGGTTGCAGACGGACATGCGCAGGCTGGTTCCCCACTAGCCCACAGCCCTGTGAGGCGGCACAACTCCTCCATCCCCATGTGCAGGAGGGAATGGAAGCCAGAGGTGAGTGACTCCTCAGTTCAGCCTGCTTCCAAGGCAGGCAACTGCCTCCAGGGTACAGGAGTTCAACTGGAGTGGAAACTAGCTCCTGCCAGAGGAGAGCATACTGTGCAAGCATCCTCCCCTCCAGTCCTGACGACGGCTGCTCTCACGTCCTCTGGACTGGTCTCTGGAGAAGGACCTCACGCACGCTGGGTTAAGGAGAGGGTCAGTGAAAGAGGAAGGCCTTCCGTGACGTGGCGTTGACACAGTGGCTGCAGCCCAGGGCCCCACACAAGGGTGATAGAATAGCGCAGCGCTGGGCAGGGTGTGGTGCTGTGGTATTAACTCAGAACCAACTTGACAACTCGGAACAAAAATCCTTATCCCAGTTTACAGATGAGGAGACACTTACAAGGACGGACACAACCACTGATACAAAGCCCCCCACACTGGGGCCTGGGGCGTGCGAAGAGGTCAAGGAGGCGTGCGATAAAGTAACAAAGGTTACAACGCCTGTGGATTACAGTCAGGAACTGGCCCTCAGAAGCCGGGCCCTGCCCGCTTCTGCAGGGTCCCTGGTTGATGGGGACAGGGTGGACTTGGGAGTCAGAAGCCATCGATAGTGAAGTCAGCTTCCTCGAGTGCAAACGGCTAGCACGTCTTTCGAGCGCTGTCTGGCACCGTCATACCCATTTCAAGTGTGCGGTTCGGCGCTTGAAAGACACTAAGAAGATATTTGCATAAGAGTTGTAAGAAGAGCCCCCAATAAAATGATCTATTTTTTAAAAAGGATCACAGCCCTATGGAGGACCATGCAGAATTTTTAAATAGTCATAGACCAAGGTTATTAATAAAAAGAAAATGTGTGCATGACCAGGAGAAGGCACGTGCAAAGATGTCACTATAGCAACGTCAGCAGTCGTAAAATGCTGGAAACTCTGCTCACCTTGGAAGAAGAAAGGCTAAATAAAGCCGTGTTCCTCTCTCGGGAGTAATCCTAAGCATTGTGTGTGTGTGTGTGTGTGTGTGTGTGTTGAGGGGGCGGGTCTGTTTGGGAAAATGCCTTTCTGTTCACACGGAGAAAGGGCCGCATAATGTATGGGGCACACAGAAGGCTCTCATCACAGGAACGGGGGAGGCTCTGGGCTGCTGGGTATTGTTTTCTCTGCTGCATTTTGATGATACTGGACATGTGCAGAACAGGATATGTGACACACTAAGTACAAAGTATTTTCTAGGAAAGACCTCTGACGTCACCACACAAGCACTCTCACTTGACTCTCATTCTCACAGTCACTCGCATGTGCCTGCATGTCCCTCATCTAAAGTCCCCGCCTCCGCCCCCTCCCCTCCCCTCCCAGCCAGAGATAGGCTCAAACTACCATTTGTACTTAGTTCTTTGCTTAAATATATACATAGAATATATGATATGCTATATAATATATATGTGTGTGTGTATGGAGCCCTGGTGGTGTAATGGTTACGAGTTGGGCTGTGATCCGCATGGTCGGCAGTTCAAGCCACCAGCAGCTCTGTGGGAGAAAGACTGGGCTTTCTACTCCTGTCAACAGTTAATCTCAGAAACCTACTAAGGGGGGTTCGCTATGAATACGCATTGACTCGATGGCAGTGAAACTCATGTTTCTTGGACATATACTACATGTATAAATATATACTACACATATAGACATGTATGTAATATATATAAAGGAGTCCTGGACCGCCAGGTCCATGGTTCGAATCCACCGCGCCCTGTGGGAGAAAGCTGAGGCTGTCGGCGTTCATGCAGACTTACAGCCTGGGAAACCGTGTGTGCGGTCCCTGTGAGTCCGAATGGGCCCCAGGGCGGTGAGTTACACCACATGTAGAGTACTGCCATCAATTACGATCGTTTAAGAAAAAAAACATTGCTTGGTTTTGAGTTTTATAAAAACATCCCTCTTGTCATCTTGTCTGGAAGCTCCCTACCGTCTCAATACTGTTGACAAGATGCATCACCCACTCCGGTACTGACATCCTAATCACAGCTTTGCACTATTTGGTCCATCCTCCCGCCGACGGCCCCTTCGGTTGTTCGCTGTGCTGGATGGAGGCTACTGCCCAGAGCTTTCTCACACGTTTGTCCTGAGTTTATGCCCTGGCGTGCCTGCAGTGGCCACACAGGCTGCGGTCGACCCGCTAGGTGGGGCACTCCCCAGTGGTATTGCCCTTGGCGTGTTGGCTTCCTCGCCTGGGCGACCTTGATTGCCCAAGGCCCCGCCCCGCCCCGCCCCGCCCCGCGCGCAGCACTCGCCTTTGCTCTCCGGCTTGAGCTCGTCCTGCAGCAGGTCCGTCTGCCGGTTGCCCAGCACGAAGGCCAGGAAGGAGAGGATGAGGGCGTTGAGGATGCCGATGATGGCCAGGATGTACGCCCAGCGCACAGAGCAGTCCCCCAGGGAGTACTTCCCCGTCTTGGCCCCGCACATTTCCCGGATGGTCTCAGCGTCCCAGCCGTCGGGGAAGATCATGCAGCCCAAGACGAGGCACAGAGCTAAGGGGGCGGCCCCACCACCGCGGGGTCAGGGAGGAAGACAGAGGGGCTCGTTACTGGCCGGAGCTCGAGACACCGGCAGCCCTCCTCCGCCCGCCCGCGGACGTCCTGATGAACCGCTTACTCTGCACGGAGCCAGGGCCTCGGCTTGGTCTTTGGGCGCCCCAAGCTTTCCAGACCCACAAAGCCCACCTCCCCTCCCCCCGAAACTGTCCTCGAAGCGAGAGAAAGAAGCCACTGCGGCGCCCTCGCATTTCTGGCAGCAGGCAGCCCGGCCGAGCACTGAGTGCCACCTTCCTCACGTGCAGGACCCGGGGAGAGGGTCGCACTCGGGCACTTAGGGGAGTCTGCGCTTAGAGAGTGGGCACTGGAATGAGAAACAAGGCGTAGGTGTTGAGGCTAGATGCTCCTCCTACTCAGTGATATGGGACGCTGGGGAAGCTAGGGCACCCTCCAGCTGAGGGTAGTCTTTACCACGCCCCTCCTCCTCGGGGAGAGGACTGGAGGATTAAATGAGGCTGGTTCTACTGTTGGGGGCGGGGCCCAGGCCAGGGGTGGGGGCGGTAGGGCTGCTGGGGAGACAGAAGGGAAGCCTGCACTAGGACTCGGGGCTTGCAGGGCCGAAAAATGCTGAGGCGAGAACCCTGGCTGGGCTCTTTCCTAGATGTGTGACCTTAAGCGAGTTCCTTCCCGTTTGCGCCTCAGTTTCCTCATCTATAGTATGGGGATGATGATGGTATCACCAGGACATTGTAGACATGACAAAAGGCAGCCGGTGAAGTAAACTTCTGGGCAAGGAAGTTCCTCAATAAAGGATAGCTGTTTTATAAAAAATCGTCATAATGGTAAACATAATAACTAAGGTGAAAATGGTGGGCGGGAAGCAGAGGGAACTGGAGAAGGTCCCACCCAAGGTGCAGCTGTGGACCTGCAGGTCCTCTCCCAGCCCTCCTGAATGGACTGCTCTCCCAGAGCTAGTGTGGGACAGGACCCAGCCCCGGACCAATCAGCACAGTGCATTCCCCTGGTAACAAGGACGCTCACAGAGAGGCACACGGGAGCCAATCAGACTCAGGGACCCGGCGGGACTCAAGCTCCCTCCGAAGAGGAGGACATGGTGTGGCCTGCGCTCAGGGAGCTGGGGTGATGCTGCCCGCAAGTTGTCTATCAGAATGTGTGTTTAGGGCACTGGAGGCCACACGGGGTTCTGTTTGGAACTGCAGGATCCTGACCCTGTGCAAGGTGGTGGGGGGGGGGGAGGGCGGGGGCGAGAGTAGCGGGAGTCCGGGAACTTAAGATTTGTAGATGGCCGCAGTGATACCTAAAACTGAAGGCGATGGTCAGTGTTGCCCACTGTCCCTGCAGCCTGTGTTGTCCCCAGGGTGGGGAAGGCAGTCAGCTTTGACAGCTTGCTTTCTGGGCCACAGACTCTGTCCAGCCTACTAACCGAGAGGTGGGTGGCCCTTCCCTCCCTGAGGTGCCTGGGGCCCCCCACCCCTGGGTTGTTGAGTCAGTCAGGCCTGGTGACATCTCCCACATGCATGTGCGATCCCCATGTACGGCACAGGCCGTTGGTTCTGGATCCAGTGTTGTTATCCAAAGGGTTCTCATTGGCTTTGAGGAAGCAAAGCACCAGGACATCCTTCCTCCTGTGTCTCGGCCTGGAAGCACCTCTTATTGGAGCAGCAGCCAAGCCTCCACTGACAGATAGGCCATGGTTGCCCGAGAGATGCACTTGCTGGGAATCTAGCCTGGTGCCCCCTTCCTGCATTTCCGTCCTTGTGGTCCACATCTAAAGCAGGATGCCCAGCTACTTGTCCCTCCACACACACCCTGGACTGGACGCAGTCTTCCTTCTATCTCCAATACTCCCACCTGCTCCTCCCGGGTCCATAAGCACACGCCTCAGCTTAGCGGTCAGGTAAGGAGTTCCAGACAAGGGGAATGGCAAAGGTGAGCCAAACGAGCTCACTGAGTTACAATACGGAGCAGGTTGTCACAGGGGCGCTCATGGGAGAACCCAGGGCTGCGGTCCCACACTGGGACATCGTAGGCAGGCTGCAGGTTGAAATTCGAACATGGGCCTGCATATTCCATAAACTGGAGACAAGGTCAGAGGCAGGTGGTGCCCTGGGGTCCGAGTTTTGCCAACCATGACCTAACACGGAGGAGGGAGAGCATGTGGAGAAACGTGGCTTTCCCCTCCTCCACTGCTCCCCACCCCCCAACATTTTGACACCCAAACATTTTAAAGCCTCTTCAGGACCGCATCTCCAAACAGAGGCAGGTCAAGGGCTAGGGATGGGGCGTGGAGCGGTTGAGGGAAGACCTGACTGGACTACAGCCCTCAGGTCCCCCCAACCCCTCCCACTCCAGCTGGGGGCACAGAGGGAGGTGTGGGAAGCCTGGGTAGGGGCCCTCTCCAACCTACCCTGCCCTTCACCTCCCCTCTGGCCTTCTCTTGGAGGCCATCTGTGGCCTAACCTTCCTCCCTGGCTAACACCTCCCCCATCTCCGTGGAAACCACACCACATTCTGCCAGGCTCGGCTCCTCCCTGTGGGGCTCCCTGCTAGTCTTGTTCAGGGAGGTTTTCTTCTGGCTCAGCCCTGCAAACTCTCTCTCCCCCTCCTCTCACCAGTCAACGTGAGCCAGGGGCCCCTGGTGGGGCTAGCACTCTGCAGCTAATGGAAAGAGGTTCAACCCCTGAGCCGCTGCAGAAGGATGTAGGCATCTGCTTTCCACAAGAATACAGCCTTGGAAGCCTGTCTGTCCTTAGGGCATCTGTCAGTGGGCTTGCTCTTGGTTCTGTTCCCCCCTTTCCTATGTGCCTGCCTGCCCCTTCTCTCTGTTGCGTGTGTGCCTGTCTCTGGCTGGCTGAGTCTGGGACTAGGCCAGTGGTTCTCCACCTTCCTAATGCTACAACCTTTTCATAGTTCCTCACACGGTGGTGACCCCCAACCATCAAATTACTTTCATTGCTACTTCATCACTGTAATTTTGCTACTGTTATGAATCAGGCGACCCCTGTGAAAGGGTTGTTCGGCAACCCCCCAAGGGGTCACGACCCACAGGTTGAGAACCACTGGACTCAGCTCTCCTTTTTCGCTAAGGTGTTCGGCATTCATTCCATACACCCCCACGCCCCTCACTCTGCCTTCTCTAGATCGATTCCCACCCTATTTGCTCTGAGATCCTACTAAGTGCCAGGACTGCATAGGTCCGAGGGCATGGGCTAGCATAGAAGGGGCACATGGGAAGGAGTAGAATCAGCCTGCCAACACACCAAGGGAGCAGTTGGTAGTCAAGAGGCGCTTCCAAGGAACTAGGGGCTGAGATCTGAAGACAAGACCTGGGTGCTTCCATCTCTTACTCACCACTCCCTGCCCCCTTGCTCTGCAGTGTCATCCAAACCAAAACCTCCCAGCCTTCGAGCCATCCCACCTCACAGCAACCCCACAGGGCAGGGTAGAACTGCCCTGTGGGTTTCTGAGACTGTCACTCTCAGTGGCTGGTGATTTCAGACTTGGAACTGCTTGTGGCTAGCAGACCAACCCATACCATTATACTCCACCAGGTGGTGTCCTAGGTGGTGGTGGATTGTGTGTGTGTGTGTGTGTGTGTGTGTGTGTGTGTGTGTGTGTGTGTAGCTTTGGAAATTGGAAATACTGAAAGAGAGGAAGAGACGTTGGGGAACAGCCGCAATGGGGACCACCAGGCTCCATCAACAGGGGATGGAAGCACTCCAGACTTTTTACTGGATGAGGAGGCTGAGGCTGAGGTCTTGGACTCCAGGTCAAGTCGCGGTTGGAAACAGTGATCTGGCCAGAGAGCGGACAGGGGAGGAGACGTAAGCAGGGGTGAGGGGCAGGGAGAGCAGGGCAGGGCTTCTCCACTTTTGACGGTTAGGTCAGATCAGCCCTGAGGTTGGGAGCTGTCCCATGTGCTGCGGTGTGGTTGGCAGCATCCCTGTTCTCTGGATGCAAGTGGATAATAGGCGACAATAAGAAATGTGTCTAGACATTGCCAAATATTCCCTTGGGGATGGGTCATCCCTGGATGAGAACCTCTGGTGCCAGAGCAAGGGCCTTAGGATGGGGCATCTCCTTCCCATTACCTCACAATCCACGCAACAAGGAGAGGTTGTGACAAAAATAATATTAATCATATTTAATAATAATATTACCAATGTAATGCTTTTGTTTTAAAATAGTACTGAGTTCTTGGCTATATGCAAAGCTCCTGATTAATAAACAGTCAACCATTTCAAGAGGTAGCATCTGACCAAGAACTGGAAGTCCAGAGGGAAGAAGTCCATGCTGCACTGAAGGCAATGGGCCTAGCCAAGAGCAAGGCTCCAGGAATTGATGGAATCCCAGTGGAAACGTTGAGCAAGGTGATGAGGTCATGCAAGCCCTCATTCACCTATGCCAGGGAATTTGGAAGACAGAGACCTGGCTAACTGACTGGGAGAGATCCATAGTTGTGTCCATTCTGAAGAAAAGTGACCCAGCAGAATATGGAAATTATGGAACAATATCATTACTATCACATGCTAGTAAGATTTTGCTGAAGATCTTCCAACAACGGTTGCAGCAGCACATTGAAAGGGAGCTGCCAGAGGTTCAGGTCGGATTCAGAAGAGGACATAGAACCAGAGAGATCACTGTTGATGTCAGATGGATCTTGTCTCGAAGCAGAGACTGCCAGAAAGATGTTTACTTGTGTTTTATTGACTATGCAAAGGCAATCAGCTGTGTGGATCATAACAAACTATGGAGAGCACTGAGAAGCATGGGAATTCTAGAACACTTCATTGTGCTCATGCAGAACCTGCACATGGAGCAAGAGGTAGTTGTGTGAACAGAACAAGGGCATACTGCAAGGTTTAAAATCAAGAAAGGTGTGTGTCAGGGTTGTATCCTCTCACCACACTTGTTCAATCTGTGTGCTGAGCAAATCATCAGAGAACCTGGACTAAATGAAGAAGAAGGAAGCATCG